AATGCACAAGAATAGCACCATACCTTATGAGCAAAAAAATGAAAAATGTGTTTTTCTAAACGACCTCATACTTCACCACTCCTCACGAATCCAAAAAACTAGTTTTTTTCATCTTTTTACATTTTTAACTTATTCCAAATTATCTTCAAATGTTTCTTTTATTTATTCTTTATTTTAAATTGACTAAGTTTTGCAGTAAAATCTGCTGGTAGTACTCCTGGGGCAAAATATTCTTCCGCCTGTTAGAAATGCTAGAAGCCATCTTTAAGACGTCAAAATTGGGCATGGAACGAAACAATAGTTAAATAAATATTTAAAGAAGAATCAGGGGATGCTTATCTGCGTTGCTAATAGTAGAAAATTCAAGGACTTTCCCCCTAGAGTACTTACCAGGACGGTTTTCATAACTTTCGATACTAGCGGCCTTTTTTCTTCCAAGCATTTTCTATTGAAGCAGTTATACAAGGGGAAGGGGCTACACTGAGGCGACATCCTTTCCAAAGTCCTTCACGGCTTAAATGGCACGCTTAATGGCGAAAAACGACAGTTAGGGTGAAGGAAAAGGGTTGAAAAATCGTGTCTGGAACAGTCGAAAAATAAAAATCACCATGCCCCGCTTATAAAACTGGAGCAAGTTTCTGCAGAATCGCCTGCAACCCGTGGGTGGAGCAACTGGACTAGGCGTGACAGTTGTAAAAACATAAATAACGGTTTACAATTCCATGGACAATTTGAAACAGATTATTTTCATCGAGAAACGAAAGACCAAAACAATTTTTTTCAAATTATGATTTAGAACATGAAAAATTAACAAAATGAATTCCACTTTTTGAAGGTAAAAGTTCAAGGCTGTCAAGAAACAAACAACTTTATGGGCAGTTTTTCAATCCTGAAAATTATCTCAACAAGCCAAAGGCAAAAATTTAGGATCAGTTTTTTGTTCGGTCCTGCTTCTGCAATTTCATTACAGTATATCAGTTCATCTCGACGGGTGTGTCCCAGATTTGTTGCTTTGGATTGTCACAGTTCCCTTTTATTTATTTATTTATTTTTTTGGCCTAGCAAACTAAAAAATTCTCGCTGGGTTTACTAACGACTTGATATAAATATCATTGCTGTTCGGAGTATTAATTGATGATCCATGTTATTATTATCCAGGGGAGACTTGGAAATTTGACAAATAATAATTTCTGTTATTAAACCTGACCTAAAATTACTCTAAAAAGAAAAATAAATTTTATAAAAAAACTAATGATTTTTCAACTCTTATGATCGTATGAATGAAAAACTTGGTAAACACTCATCAACGAGAATAGTCTCTCTAATAGTGAAAAAGTGAAGGTTGAAAAAATTATTTTAAAAATATCACTATGTAATATAATTAACTAAAAAAAGTAAATTAATCTCTCTAATACAAAATTGAGTGATGTATTCATACCTTCTATATAATTAAAAATTACACGTGATATACTGTTCTTGACCCTACGACCCGGAACTTCAGAAGAATTTTTAAGTTTCTCATATTTTTCAAGTTTTCATATCTTGGGCGTCCTTTTCGGAAAAATGTCTGACAAGTCCTACGGAATCAAAAGGTCCCTACACGTAATAGGAAGGCCACACCCTGTTCGGCGTCACCTTGAGCATAAGGAAGTGTGCAAAACAGCGTCCTTTGAAATGGAATAAGTGGAGCAGGACCAAAATCCACGATTAACTTGGCGCTTTCCGACGTCCTACGGTTAAAATGCCAATGATGTATTTTTGATTTAAGCAAAACAGTAGTTTATGATCTCCTTAGAGAGCATACGAAGCAAAAGTGAACGGGATAGGAAGTAACTCTGGCCTCCGAACAAGGAAATACTTCTACACAATATATTGAATTTTTTATGCTCTTTCTAGTTACTAAAGTGGCCAACTATTGCTAGAAAGTTCATATTTCTACCTTATACGTAAACGTCTTGTAAATATTAAATTCCTTAATTAACCGACTTTTTTCTAATTTAAAATTATTAATTTATAAGTAAGAAAATTAAATTGTAATTTCTTCTTGAAGTTTTAGTTTTTGCAAGAAGGATTGGGTCAGTTGTACTGAACTAAGAAAAGTACGAAAAGTAGGCTGCGGTGCCTGGGAATCATAAAACCACGTCTACGTAGTATTATATTATCATCATCACCTTCTTCTTTTTCTTGCAGTTTTCCGTTTTAAAAGAAGGACCGAGTCAATTGAACTGAATTAAGGAACTAGGGAAAACAATAATACAGGCTGCAGTGCTTGACAATATAAAACGTCCGATTCTTAGAATTCAATTTCATCATCATCATTGTCACCTTATTTTTCTTGAGGTTTTACTTTTTATGACAAGGATCGTGTCAATAGTGAACTAACGAACTTGAAAAGACCGCCTTTTCTTGGAGAATATAAAACCACCTCTTCATTGCATTCAAGTATCATCATCATCACCATCTTCTTCTTGAGGTTTTCCCTTTTAAAAGGAAGACGAGTCAATTGAACTGAATTAAGGAACTAGGAAACACCAATAATACAGGCTGCAGTGTTTGATAATATAAAACCTCCGATTCTTAGAATTCAATTAACATCATCATCATTATCACCTTCTTCTTTTTTACTTGATCAGTTTTTTGCTTTACTTTTTATGCCAAGGATCGAGTCAATAGTGGATTAACGAACTTGAAAAGATCGTCTGTTCTTGGAGAATATAAAACCACCTCTTCCTTGAATTATCATCATCATCACTTTCTTCTTCTTCTTGAGTTTTTACTTTATACGAGAAGAACCGAGTCAATTGGACTCATCTAAAAAAATACAATAAGCAAAACGGCTGTGCTTGGAAGCCCTCGCTTTTTAGTTCATCATCATCTTTTTCTTCTTTTCATTTTGCGGTCCGTGGGGTGATGAACCTATTAACTTTTCCAATCATTTTGATCTGCCTATCTTCGATGTTTTGCTCGAGTTGTTTTATGTTACATTTTTGATATTGTATTGCTACCCATGCGTTGTTATGTCAATTTTAATCCAAATGTTATTAAAGTACTACAAATTTAATAAATTTTAAATTTAAATTGTTTTATATTTGTAATATAAAAAAATAATTTTGGGAGGAAATTTGTTAAGCAATAATCATAGTGATGGAATAACCACGTTTTAAGTTCACGATGATTGTAGTAGTTTATTGATATTTATTTTTTATTTTAGTAACCTGAATTATGTAAAGAAAGTCAAGATGAAAAAGTAGTGTCAGTAGTGTCAGTAGTGTCAGTAGTGTCAGTAGTGACAGTAGTGTCACGAGCAGGACATTGCAGTAGCTCATCAGGAGAACACGGAACCGTCCGAAAGTCGTGAGTTCGAGTGTCGCTCGTGACATTAACTTTTCATCTAAACTTTCTATGCTTCATTCAATTACTCTTTTAATTTAAGTTTTATAGAATAACGACAATTTATTTTTGGGTTCTGTCTGTATACAATATTTCTCCAGGCAGAGATTTGATCTTTTCGCCTCTTATATTGAAGAAACAAGACCATTTCCTACAACGGTAGTATAATTACTTAATAGACGTTATTATTTTAAAATAAACTGGCAAATCGCTTTGTAATCAGGTGAAATACCGATCCAGGAAGTTCACACTTCATGAGCATCTCATTAAAATTGCAAATTCGCTATTCTTGATGTTCACTTCCTGACATATCTTCATCTCAACGGCCTTACTGAAAAAATTATACACCACACGGAAAGCCTTGGAATAACGAGCACAAAGAACTAAAAGATAAGAGAAAAAGACTACTCTAAAGAATGGTTGGTCAAACAAAATGAATTATGTAACAAAAAGGATCAAGGAGGTAAAGAACTGTAAAATGATGAGATGTCTAATAACATTTGTAAAAACCGAACATTCATATAAATGAAAATAAATCCTAAACAACATCATCTTCTTCTTTTTCTTGAGGTTTTACTTTTTAGAATAATGGAGTCAATTGCACTGAATTAAAGAAGTAAATGGACTACATATGCTAAACCAATTGTACCAAACTTGATATTTTCTTTGCTTGGTGATCTGTAAACTGGCTATGTTTTGTACTTAGCCTGCAAAGAAACGAACTGTACCCGTTATTTCAAAATACACCGTCCCCATCATGGGTGAAAGTAGTGAGAGCGGATCATCTTCGGACAAAGAGGCGATGAACTTCACCGATAGCACGATTCATCGGAAATTACATGCCCACTCTCAGTTGTGCAGTAGTTTAATAGCAGTGTTTCCATTAAAAATTTGATCCGACATGCAATTCAGCTTTAAAATGCCAAACGATGATCCTTTCTCACACGCCACGCGCTTTATAAAATGTTGGATTTTCAAATTAGTGAACGCTATTCAGAAAAATAGGGCCGGTCTTACATACGTTTTTTTTTAAACCAGAAAGAAATTTGCAATTCTTATTGATATTTTGCCAATCGTTAAAATTCATGAATAGTTCCCTGTTGATAAAATATCCGGTCAAATTTTAATTAGATAAAATTAAGGAAAGTTTGATTCGTTGCCTTTGAAATCTTAAAATATATTAAATATAACCAAAAATTTATCTTGCCACCTCAATGAACACGGTATGATGCATGTTTATTTGAAGATTTTTTTTATAGTTGCTATCTTCTTATAATTAAGAAAAGAAAATCAACAATAAAACAACTTTCAACCGATTTTAAATGTTTTACAAAGGTGTATGTTTCTTATTTTTATTGGTAAACATTTCCTACTTGCGAACTGGTAAAATATTGCTTTTGAGCTAAGAGTTATAGTAAACCAGGGCAATAAACCTTTAAGCTAACGGTGTAATGATCCAAGTTTTTATTAAATAACGATCCTGACATATACAATATTTTCTACTTTCTCTCAGTCAGCTTTGATTTAAGTGTAATTGCAGTCATTAGTGTCAAAAAAATATTAGCTGCTATTAACCCAAAGGATTAAGGATTTTTTTATCTTTTTTTCAGAAAAGGAGTATATCTATAAGTAGAGTATTCTGCTTGCTCCTGCTGTGTGCTCTTATCTCGCAAACATACACAGAATCATCGACACGTAAGTACACAAACTTGCCTAAATTATTAACACTTAATATACGAATTTTCCTATTACGTAATCTCTTTTTCCATCAACATCCATAGAGATTAAATTGATATTCCTCACGCCCCTTCGCACGTCTCGGACGTCATTTTAAATAGTAGGCTGACTCGGATTATGAAAGAAACGGGATAAGTCCTACTGTGTGGTCATGGTTTGAGTTATGTAGCAATACGGTTTAGTGGTCTGTAACAACTGTCGATATCATCAGGTTAATCTGCCTTGCCAATTGACCCAATCGCGTTGATTTTATTACGCCTGAACAACCGCAGGACAGTTCAGATCAGTTACCAAATTATAATTACTTACGTAATATCTGTAGTAATTTGGTATATGGCTAATGCCGAAAGGTTAGCCAAAAAAATATGTAGTAATTTATAGTTTGCATATGAATAGGTATAGAAAATTTAAAGTAGAAAAACCTCTAAATCTTAACGAGCAGAGGATTAATTTCGTTTTCACGAAGGTTGAAAAGATGAAATTAAAACTGATAGAATTTTATGTGAAATAAGAGAATGTCAAAAAACAAGCTATTTTAATAAGATAAAGATGTAAATTAAACAATTTAACTTAGCAATAGAACGACTTTCATAGATTTCACACGCTCACGAAGATAAAAATACGATTTTTACGGAAATAGGGACGATATTTATTTAAGGTTAGTCTAATGTGAAGAGTGACAAGATAATAGATAGATTGGAGAGAAAGAGGGAGAGGAGAAAGGGTTAGAAAGTTTGATAGATAGATAGATAGATAGAGATAAAGATATAGATAGATAGAGAATAGAGAGAAAATAGACAGAAAGTGAATGAGAGTGGTAGTGTTTTATTTAGCCGCACAAAATTAAGTCTCTCTCAAAAAAGGGAGACAGGAGGAGAGATATAGATAGAGAGAGGAATATGAGAGAAAGGAAGAAATAGAATGAAATAAAAAGTGAGATAGAGCAGGGAGAGATATTTACAGAGAGAGAGAGAGAGAGAGAGAGAGAGAGAGAGAGAGAAAGAGAGAGAGAGAGAGAATGGAGAGAAATGGAGATAGATAAATTGATTGATTGATTAACGATTTATTTAATAAAATACACACAAAAGGTATCTCTCTAGGACCTTTCTTACACTTAACGTGAAATTACAATCATAGTATTTGAAGAGAGATTATCTTTATATTAATATAATATAATNGAGAAGGAGAGAGAGAAATGAAGATGGAGAGAGAAAGGAGAGAGGGAGAGAGAAATGAAGATGGAGAGAGATATTTACAGAGAGAGAGAGAGAGAGAGAGAGAGAGAGAGAGAGAGGATGGAGAGATTGATAGATAGATAAATGTGGAAAGATTTGTCATTTTACATCAACTTGTAACCAACAAGCAATTTATGTAATTAAGAATAAATATTGAGTGTTACAAACATATTGGATGAGACAACAAGTTTTAATAAATTTACGATGGAAGTTTTTTTTCTATGAAAGTGACATGTTGGTATTGAATTCTTCTCGTGTAAACTAAAACATTTAGTTTTACAAAATAAATCAATTCGATAAAAAAATTAGCACTCATGTACAGATTTATATAACTTTTATTTTTTGGATAATTTTTATTATTAATTTTATTTTCAATTTTCGAGATCGTAGTCACTGTAAAAAAAGCGAAAGATTTATTCGTTATGAAGACAGACCAGAGTCGTAGTCACTGTAACTCAAAGAGTATCCATTCGAAGATCGTGGGTTCGAATCTTGTTTGTGACTCATTTCTTCCGTGGTTTGAAACTGTTTGCTTTTGTTACAGAATTCGACAAATAGTGTAAAAATTTACATATCAAGTTACATTCTAAGAGAACTGTCGAGCCATATCTCCTAGGTGGATTATGCAACGGCCGGGCTCGTTTTAAAGAGAAGAAAGTTTTTTTTTTTTTCCAATGATCAATCAAATAAAATTGTGTCCGGAAGCGAGCTCCACGTTGGGCAAGAGGCCATTTTTCTACCGGGTCCGCGAGAAAGAAAGTGAAAACATTTTCATACAGGGGACGAGCCGTCGATGCGACACGGAGCGATACTTTTTGGACGCATTGTCCGCCGGACGTCCTCGGTGAAACGTGAACTTTCTAACACGGGTTCCAAAAGCAAATCGTTTCTTTACAAAAACAGCAGATTAATTTCTTACGGCAAAATGTACCGTAGGCTCTAACAAAGATGACGAGTCCGTGGGGCGGGGTGGGCCCACCCCGTTTTTAATTCAAAAACGCTACCAACTTTCACCGGATTTGCATACAATGGTTTTACTCCCGATGCCACCTTCTGTTAAATAAAAACAAAAAAAAGAAGGACATTATTCATACCTTTATTATCCTTTGGAACCGGCAAATTTTCACCTCCTTTCTGCTAAACTTTCACCCTCCTCCCCTATTTTATAAATATTGTATAAAGGAACTGTAAACAGCAAAGTCCAAATATTATTTGATGATACCGTATTTTGAATACATAAAGTCTGTCCAGCTTACAATTTCATCATATTATTCCCTCATTACTGTTCCAAAAATTACTCCAACGCTATTTGTTCTTATTCTTCTAATCAAAGTTTTTTGTTTTGTGATTTTTACGTTGATGTTTAACGTAGATATGATTATGGGCTGGATATAAAATTTTTTGCATGACCATTTGAGCAAGCTTAAGCTTGGATTAAGTTTGATTATGTGAGAAATGGTAAAGTTATGTATGGTTTGAGTAGCTGTTTAAGATTAGGGACGGGTTAGGTTTCGTTAGAATTACGAATAGCTAGGTTAGGTAGGGTCAGGGTTAGAATGGGTTATGTTTGGTTAGATTGGGTTAGAGTTAGGAGTGGTTAGGTTAGATAGGGATGGATTTAGTTTGGTTAGGTTTGGGTAAAATAGGCTTAGGTTAGGGTTAAGTTAGATTAGGTAGGGTTGGGGTTGGGGACGAGTTAGTTTAGTTAGATTAAGTTACAGTTAGAAATGGCTAGTTGGGTTAGGTTTGGCTTGGTTAGGTTATAGTTAGCAATGGTTAGATTAGTGTTAGGGTTAGCGACGGGTTAGGTTACTTTATGATTAAATGTTTTTCCTTGAAATAGAGAAAATTTGTGAGAGCGAATATTGAATATTGAAGCTTATGACCCGCCCACCTAAAGTAGTTTTTACGTTATTTTAATATTTGTGTCTCAAATTTCTTTAATTTTTATCTTAAATCTTAAAATATCTTAAAGTAATAAATTAACGCGAGTTACATTAATTAAACTAATTTTTGTTGAACAATTTCACCATAAATATGTAAAATGGATGTTTAAACTTTATTGATTTCCAATCTTGAAGAAGAAGAAAGAAAGAAGAAGACATTCTATGTTATTTTTTGGCCAATTCAACCTTTTATGACTTTTGAGATTGATGATATAAGTACAATTTTTTGTTAAAAAGTTTTCTTGGGGTTGAATCGTTGGGTTCATCAAGTCAGTCAATTATTCAACAAAACCCACAAAAACTCATTTTTTTTAACGAGGGTTCCCAACAGTAGAGATCGTATAAATCCTCAGGTTGCCGGTGTTTAAAAAAAAGCCCATTTGTAAGTATGTCGGGTTCGAATGCAGGGCCGCTGGATTCGAACCCGGGACCTTTACCTTACAGTGATGAGCGTCAACGCTTAAACCGCTGCGGCCACCGACGCCCTCCAAAACTCATATATTTTGAATTATTTGGTTTTTAACAAGAACTCTTACAAAATATATTATCCGCTTTTAACCAAAAATTTACTGGCTTGAAAAATCACGTAGAAATTCAACAAGAGCTAGCGTTTTAACGAGCAGAACTTTGCTCTCTTTCATTGAACCGTGACAACGGACAGACACTTGTTCGTATAACGCGCTTTATTGAAAGAAAAAAAATATTATTACATAAAAGGGTTTTAAAAGGTCGAAAGTGAAAAATGAGCATTTCAAAAATGGAGTTATGCCATGTCCGAAATGGACGTAACCTTACGTAAATCTTAGAATATTCCCTGAAGAAACTTCACTATAGCTTTTCTTTTTGATGAGGTCCTTGTCGATACGCTTTTTTAAATATATCTGGACAATTTTTGCATAATAGTGAGCTACCATAAATCAACAAAGATTCGATTTAGAAAGCTAGTGTTTGTTGGAAACACTTTCAAGTTAATATGTTGTTACTGGCAAACTATTTTTAATGAGATTCTTTTGTTTTTGCTTCCAGCGACGCGCAGACGGTTACGACGGCCGAGCGGATCCAGCCGTGTTCGGGACCAGGAGACCAGCGCGAGCGTCAACAGGTTTAAAGTAAGGAACAGGATCTCTGACAAATCGACAGCCGTACTAACGAGGAAGTCCGGTACAGACACCGCCTCCACATCATCGTCATCATCAAAAAATGACGACGGATACAAGGCAAGTATGAATATTTAAAACCATTTTCTTCCAAACTATATATCACAATATTTCTTACCTATTCCAGGTCGTTTGTTATTACACTAACTGGTCTCAATACAGACCCAAAATCGGCAAGTTCCTCCCGGAGGACATCGACCCCAATCTCTGCACACACATCATCTTCGCTTTCGGATGGCTGAAGAAGGGCAAGCTATCGTCTTTCGAGTCGAACGACGAAACCAAAGACGGCAAAGTGGGTCTTTACGAAAGGATAAGGAATTTGAAGAAAGCCAACCCCAAGCTTAAAACCCTCTTGGCCATAGGTAAGCTCCCTACAATCTGAATCGAGGGGAAATCTAACGGCCCTTAAATTTCAGGCGGTTGGTCTTTCGGAACCCAGAAATTCAAGGACATGTCCTCGTCAAGGTACGCCAGACAGACCTTCATCTACAGTGCCGTTCCGTTCCTGAGGACCAGACACTTTGACGGTCTCGATATGGATTGGGAGTACCCGAAAGGAGGAGAAGACAAAAAGAATTTTGTACTCCTTCTAAAAGGTATTTTGTCGTATATAAAAATTCATGAGATCTTCATTTCAAATATTCAACATGATTCAATTTGAGTTATCTTAAGAAGTACTGCAGTAAATCCCATTATAGTTTATAAAGTGGATATTTTTTGTTAAGTTGGAACTTGTATATTTGTTCAGAATTGAGAGAAGCTTTTGAAGCGGAAGCCCAGGAAGTTAAGAAACCCCGATTACTGCTTTCCGCTGCTGTGCCCGTCGGCCCGGACAATGTCCGCGGTGGTTACGACGTCCCCGCCGTCGCCGGGTAAGCGTTTTCGTCTCCACAGTTTTGACAACTTGCTAATCCCCGGCATTTCCAGGTATCTAGATTTCATCAACTTGATGGCTTACGATTTCCACGGAAAATGGGAACGCGAAACCGGTCACAACGCTCCGCTCTACGCGCCTTCGTCTGACTCCGAATGGAGGAAACAGCTTTCCGTCTCGGCAGCTGCCGACATGTGGACCAGGCTTGGAGCCCCGAAGGAGAAGCTGATCATCGGGATGCCGACCTACGGAAGGACCTTCACCCTCTCGTCCATGCAGAGGACGTCCGTCAACTCCCCCGCCTCCGGAGGTGGCAAAGCAGGAGAATACACTAAAGAAGCCGGATACTTAGCTTACTACGAAGTAAGGATTTAAGCAACACATTATAGGTTCTTCATTCTAATAATTATTAATTCTAGGTCTGTGAGCTGCTCAGGAACGGCGCGTCGTACATCTGGGACGAAGAAATGAAAGTGCCTTACGCCATTCAGGTTGCACCTTTATTTACTAGCGATAAAAATCTCAACATAAATGCTTTATCGAGTATGTTTCAGGGTGACCAATGGATCGGGTTCGACGACGAGAAGTCCATTAGGCATAAGAGTAACTGGATCAAGGAAAACGGATACGGAGGTGCCATGGTGTGGACCGTCGACATGGACGACTTCACAGGCACTGTCTGTGGAAACGGTGTTAAATATCCACTCATCGGGGCCATAAGGTAACGCAGATTGTGACCTCAAGACCTGCACGCGTTGCGGGCTTAGCGTTTTCACTTTTTCTTTCATACTACGAATCGATTTTAAAAGAAATAGCAAGAAATTAAAACCTATATTACTGGTAGATAAATGATCTTTTTTCCGTGTGAATTAAATTAGCCTAAATTAGTAACCTGCAGAACTTTTCTTTTAGTATCTCCCAGCAAACCTAGCAATGCTAAATGAAAAAGCTACAAAGAAATAAGAAACTAGAAAAACCTTGACAATTTTTTATAATATGGCTGTTCAAAGTTAGTTTTTTTGAGGTCTGCATAATAATTTACATGTAGCTTGATCATCTCTGAGCACCCTGGTCAGCTCATTTTTGTCAACTTTGGCCTTTGTCAGACACATTTTAAAGTTTTTTTATAAACCCACCACTGATGTTGAAACAGAATGTGTCTGACAAACAAAACCAAGGATCATCAAAAACGATCCAGATTAGTGTTTTCGCCTTTCATATATATCTCACAATTCTTAGAGTTAATGCTGACCGTTCAGAAAGTTCCTCACTGAAGATGGTACAATGAACAAATGCAATTTGAGTAGTTAACCAACGCACCGCCAATAGACCTAGTCCTTAAAGAAAGGGTGGTCATCCACCAAAAAAAGAAAAATGAGGCTATTGATATAGGAGCAAGCCAGGGAGAAATAGACTGGTTCCGAAGCACAACGGTGAAGGAGGCAAAAGAGTACTTGGGAAAAATGACAAGGGCATCATGGCAAGAAAGATGGACAAATAGCAATAAAGGTCGGCTAACATCCAAATTTTTCCCAAGCGTTGAAAAAAGACAAATAGCAAAATGGCTACATCCCGACTACTGGACCACCCAAATGCTATCAGGACATGGAAACTTCGCAAGCTATCTTCATAAATATAAGAAAAGAGAAAGCCCTTTATGCTCCGTTTGCAGCACTGAAGAAGACGCCGAACATAAACTCTTCAGCTGTATCAAATTCAAGGCAGAAAGAGAACGTTTGCGAAAGACCATCACCTCAGCAGAATGGCCGCCTAATCTCCAAAAGCTAGTCTGTGATATCAAATCTTTTGGAGCACTAAAAGACTTTGCCTCAAATACGCTTAAATGAACAAGTCCCTATTTATTCTAATTATTAAGTCCTAAATATTGTTATTATTGTTAGAGTTTTATTACCGTTATTTATTTATTGCATAATTAAACATAGGTTTAGGTTTAGGGTTCCGGGCTGTTTTCCTCTTCTTAGTAAGAAAATTTTAGATAATATAAATAGATAGAAAATAAAACCAAGGAAAAGTAAATGTGCAAGGGGAAACCAGCAAGGGAAGACCTTTTGTTTTAGGTTCTAAAATGAAAATATGGTCCCTTCAAAAACCAACCAGCGGTCTCGCCTGAAGGAAAGATTGTTGGGAGGTATTTTTATCCCATTTATTTGAAATCCCTTAGATATACAAATTAGATTAAGCTAAAGCGTTTGTCTGCCGGTATGGGGTCTTCCTCAGGTACGGCGGGGTGGTGGAAAGGGTATAAAAAAATAAAAAAAGTAGTTCAACAAACTTGCGAGTGAAGGCAGACAAAAAAGTTACTGAATGCTGGTTCAGCATGAGCTCAATTCTTGTTTGCTAAAATATTTACAATACTGATTCAATAGCTCAGACTTTTATGTATAATAATAAACCATAAAAAAATAGATGGCTGGAGTTCTTGATTTTTTTTACATAGGTCCAAAAAAGTTTCTTTAGGTTATTTATATATATTTTATCTTTTATACAATTGTAAAGTATTTTAAAATAAAGTCCTTCAATCACTAAATAAAATGAATTTGTTGATTATATATAGACTGTTTCTATAAACGAAAAACAAATATAATTAAATTTTCTTTAACCAACAGGGAAGAATTGAGAGGAGTCAAGAGAGGTCCTAACGCAGTTGACGTCGACTGGACTAAAGTTGCCAAAGCCCCACCACCCACTGCAGTTAAGCCTGCTGCCATCAAGATCCCAGCTTCAGATGCCATTTCAAAACTCACTAGAGCCAAGCCGACAGTATCAAACAACATTATCCCAACTCAAGACGCTAACGGTAAGTCGCAGTTTTCATAAATCAATTCAATTCAAACCCATTTTCTTCCATCTTACAGTGAGAGAAGCACAAGTGTTCTGCTACTTGACTTCGTGGTCTGCGAAAAGGCCCGGTGCAGGCAGATTTCAACCGAATGACCTCCAGCCCAATCTTTGTACGCACATTATCTATGCCTTTGCTACACTTACTGACCACAAACTGGCTGCTGCCAGCGGAACAGAAGAGCAGTATCATAAAATAATCGCTTTAAGGGAACAAAATCCAAATTTAAAGGTTTGAGCACTGTCCAATTAACATGACAAATTGATAATGGTATGGGATCTATGATAATGGTATTTTGGTCGCTTTACAGATTTTACTCGCAATCGGAGGATGGGCTTTTGGTTCAACCCCATTTAAAGAACTCACAAACAACGTCTATAGAATGAACCAGTTTGTCTACGAAGCTATCGAGTTCTTAAGGGAGTTCAAGTTCAACGGTCTCGATGTCGACTGGGAATACCCAAGGTGAGATAAACATTGCAAAACGCCGATGGCTGTGATTTAAAATTGTTTTGAATTACAGAGGTGTGGATGACAGAGCTTCATACGTAAACCTTTTGCGCGAACTGAGGATGGCGTTCGAAGGTGAGGCCAAATCTAGCGGCCAGCCAAGGCTACTTCTCACTGCTGCCGTGCCTGCAAGTTTTGAGGCAATTGCTGCTGGGTATGTTATAAAAATCTCATGTATGAAAAAATATCTCTTATTTTTTTTTTTTTTAAGTTACGATGTACCTGAAATCGCCAAGTATCTCGACTTCATTAACGTCATGACGTATGATTTCCACGGACAATGGGAAAGACAAGTAGGACACAACTCACCGCTCTATCCGCTTGAAAGTGCTACTAGCTACCAGAAAAAGCTCACAGTTGTAAGTTCCTATAATGGAAATTTATATAATACCCAATGAAAAGGAAATAAAACATTTATTTAATAGGAAGGAAAAAAGAATCACAATATTACAATAAAGAAAAGAAATCACGAAGAAAGAGCATTTGACTTATAAAAAAATTAATGTTAGAATTTGAAAATATTCATTCGAATAATTTTTTTTATAAATTATATTTTATTTTAACATGAATCTGTTTTAGGGCCCAGTACAGAAAAAAAAATGTATAGACAAAAATTGTTTACATTCTCATAATTGTACAAATCAATCAAAAGATCATATTCCTGATTTAATATTTATCCATGAAGCCGAGAAAATGTATCAGTTCAATTTGGTTTGGCTCTCCTTAAAAGAAGAAAATACAAAAGTACAAATTTCTCCTTAACAAAGCTCTTGAATAGATTGACACCTCATATGACGGGTATGTCATGAAGTTTTAACGTAGAAAAGCACCATTGTTTTTTTTTTATGTATACCATCCCTAAATGTATACCAATGAATAAGGGAATTTTTATTTTTTTACGAGGTTATATAAACCCCCGGGTGCTGATGTTTTTGAAAAAAAACTTATTTGTGGCCACTAGATTCGAACCCTACATCCTTACAAATAAGCTTTTTTTCAAAAACATCAGCACCCGGGGGTTCATATAACCTCGTAAAAAAATAAAATAAAATAATTATGAGAGCGTAAACAATTTTTGTCTATAAATTTTTTTTGTGCTGGGCCCTAAAACAGGTTCATGTTAAAATAAAAGATAATTTATAAAAAAAATTATTCGAATGAATATTTTCATATTCTAACATTAATTTTTTTATAAGTCAAATGCTCTTTCTTCGTGATTTCTTTCCTTACCTTTAAGGGACCTTTACTTACAGTGATGAGCGCCGTGTCAACGCCTAAACCGTTGCGGCCACCGACGCCCCAAGTGAATTTTTATATGAACAATGATTTTGCATCCTTAAATATCACTTGTTAATTAATAATAATTCCTTCCTACATTATTCCTTTGAATTGTTGTTTACTTATTGATTTTATTGTATAAATCAATAATTAGAATTTTTTTAATAGGATTACAGCGCGAGGGAATGGGTAAAGCAAGGAGCTCCTAAAGAGAAGCTCATGATCGGAATGCCGACTTATGGAAGAAGTTTTACACTCGTAGACGAGGACAAGTTTGACATCGGTGCACCCGCTTCTGGAGGCGGCAAGCCAGGCAACTACACAGCTGAGAGCGGTTTCATGGCTTACTATGAAGTAACTATGACAAAATTACTAAAAATCAAGTTGTGTTTTGTACTAACAAAATAACTTAAAAATTAGGTTTGCGACTTCCTTCATGAAGATAACACAACTTTGGTATGGGATAACGAGCAACAAGTTCCATTTGCATACCGAGGCAACCAATGGGTCGGATTCGACGATGAGAGAAGTTTAAAAACCAAGGTAAAATTGTTCAAATTTAATTAGTATTGTTTCCATGCTGAACCGGCGCTAGGTCATTTATTGGGTCAGACTTCATTCATGAGAAATTTTAGTCATTTGACCCATTGCCAGTTCAGTATTTCACTGACGCTTCAACTCGTTTTGTTATAAAATGATAAAATATTGTCATAGATGACATGGCTCAAAGAAGAAGGATTCGGTGGAATAATGATCTGGTCCATTGACATGGATGACTTCAGAGGTATATGCAACAATGGAAAATTCCCGTTGGTGAATGCCATGAAACAAGAACTCGAAGACTATTCAGTCAAATTAGAATATCAGGGTCCGTACGAAGGAACAGGTTCGAGCGGCGCCTATACGACAAAAGATCGTAAGTTTTGACTAAAAAAATTAAACTGAACAAGAATAAGATATATAAATTGTTTTTATAGCGAATGCGGTAACTTGCGAAGAGGAAGATGGACACATCTCGTACCACCCGGACAAAGCGGACTGCACGATGTACTACATGTGTGAGGGTGAGAGGAAACACCACATGCCTTGTCCTTCGAACCTCGTCTTCAATCCAAATGAAAATGTCTGCGACTGGCCGGAAAATGTCGAGAGCTGCTCACAGCACACACAGGCCCCACCGGCTGCTCGGCGCTGATCTTACACGACAGTAATTCCACCATCCGAATCCTCATACAAATCCCACAATCCGCTTGCTCAAAACTTCAGGTTTGGAACAGTTTCAAGACCCCAATTTTCCAGTCTCTCTTGTTGCAATTTTGTTAGCCGAAGTATTGCCTAAAGACGATTGTGATAAAATTTCAATTTTTCTATATTCTCTTGTTGAAAGTGTTTGTTTTTTCAAATATTGTTAATGGTGTATACTGTTTTTACAAGTTTTTTTCTCACAATATATTCTGTAATTATTATTTTGTAAATACATATATATAAAAATTGTCTGGAAAATAGGTTTGTGAGGTGGAGTATTATATTTTTGGATATATAAAAAACCAAACTGCCATGTATGTATTCTGTAATTAGAATTTTTCATTGATAAAATCCTTTTGAATTTATTTTGTAATATTTATTGTATTTAATGTAAGATAGAATTTAAGATTTTTATTATTACTTCATATTTTCACACCCAGTTCTAAAATAAAGAAATTGCTTCAAAAATTTTTCTCAGATTGGATTCTATCGGTCAAAGTTAAACAGTCGGATTCTTTGGACTTGTACGGAAGTCGCCTGAGATATACAAAGTATACAAGAATATTAAATTTTCATTTGATACATTGACTGTGTATGTAAATATTATATAATACAATTTTATTAAACCTGTTTTATAAAAACTATAAAATTTTCTTTTATCTTGTTTTCTTTTATTGCATAACAAAACTCAACGGTAAAGATTAACGCACATCAACCCTAAAGGGGCAACAGTGGCGACAATGGTTTAAATGTTGACACGGTGCTCATCCCTGTACGGTAAAGTTCCCAGGATCGAATCCAGCGGTCTTGCATTCAAACCCAACATACTCACAACTGATTCTTTTTTTTTTTTTAACACCAGCATAAAAAAAGAAAACCAATAAAACAATCCCTTACTTTATTTACATTACAAAGTGCACAAACTTAAGGGGTAAGTCGTTTTGGGTCTCTGGGGAACATTGATGTTTTTCTGATGTTATCCAGCCCTAAGTAAAGCATGACAACCCTCTCGAGTCCAATGCCACCGCCGGCATGTGGTGGACATCCGTACTTGAAAGAATCAATGTATGCTTTGATTTTATCTAAATCTGAAATGGAAAACAAAAATGTATTGTGGTGGAGAAGGAATTCAGTTCAGTTTGGTCATTACTCACCGACACCGTGAAGTTTAGCCCTCTCGGTGAGCAAGTCGGGATCGTGGATCCTCTGGGCACCAGAGAGGATCTCTTCGCCTCTCATAAACATATCATAGGAATTGGAGGCTTTCTATAAAAAGTTACAATTTAAAAAAAATTGTAATAATCCTGGTTAAAATAAAATGAATTTAAAAAAATTACAGGATTGAGGGGATCAGGCATCGTATAAAAAGGCCTCACAGCAAGAGGAAATTTATCCAAAATATAGAAATCTGTATCATACTGTAAAAACAAAATATATAATTTAGTTTTCAAAAAAAAAAGTAAAATACTTAAAACTGTGCAAAATATTACTTTCGCTTTTACAAGACGACCGAGTAGTTTTTCGTCGGCTGTACTTAAATCCTCTTCTTCACCAAGAGTCACTCCAGCTTCTTTAAGCATTTGGATGGCCACAGGAAATTCAAGGATAAGTGGAGGATCCAAGAATTTAAAAGGTTCCAAGCCATATTGTGTTTTAATGGCTTCAAAATGTTCTGAATATCTAACATGCAATAAAAAAATAAATAAAATAAAAGTCATTTTAGTTACCATATTAACTTTATACCTTGTTTGTAAACCCTTAAATATTTCGGTGAACAGATTGCCAATTGTATGTACAACTTCGTGGTAATGGTATTTGAAGGACATTTCCAAATCAAGTCCGACGAATTCAGTCAAATGCCTGTGTGTGTTACTGTCTTCAGCTCGAAAAACTTAAACCATGTTTTTTTTAAATAGAACTTTAATTTTTTTAAAATAATAATAATTAATTACAAAATCATACCTGCACCAACAGTGAATACTTTTTCAAAATCACCAGCAATGGCCATTTGCTTATACAGCTGGGGACTCTGGGCAAGGTAAGCGTTTCCTTTAAAATAAGAAACTGTGAAGACATTTGCACCACCTTCACTGGCAGCACTGATCATTTTTGGAGTGTGAATTTCTACAAAACCCTGAAATATTAAATTTAAAAAATATATGTGTTGGGGGAAGACTTTCTCTTTTTTTAAGAAGAAAAAACTTTTGAGGAAAAATAAATTTTTGACCAAGATTTGTTAATTATAAATTTGTTTTATATTCAGAACTTTAGGTAAATCCACAATGTTCAATAAAGGTTCAGTTATTTAAAAACATCATAAAAGACGATTTTTTGTTAGCTAATTAGTTGTGTAACTAATTAATAATTCATAAAAAACTATATTATCTTATGTTGATAATATTGTTGCTGTTATTTTATTTTATAGGTTGTTATTAAAATTCATTTTTTATCTTAATCCATAGATGTTGACAACCAAAAACATTTTTTTAAATAAAAAATAGTCTATATTTATTATTATTTTTGTTTTTGTTTATTTATAAAAAAAAAAAAAAACAACAAGAATCTATTTTCAGGTTCTACCGGTCCCCCCCCCCTCAATAGTCGTTATGAATGATATGTTCTATTCGAGATAGTTCTTCTCCTTTATTCCTTTTGCCCATCAACTTAAATTTTTTGGTTAATTATAAATTCATATGTAAATAGTATTTAATTATAAAAATATTTTAAAAAATGGTTAATTAGATTAAGGTGTGCTGGCTTCTATTACTATAATTAATAAATGTAAAAATTTGCATTTTGCAAAATTGTGTTTCATTTTCACTGGGCATTCATAACAGCTGAAGGGGGCAGCACCACAAAATCGATACATGTTTTGTTTTTTTATAAACAAAATAAAGACTACTTTTTTTTGAAAAAGTGTTTTTGGTTGACTACATCTATGGAATAGAGTCCATGAGTGTAATAGAATCCCCCCCTCTTGTATTGTTTTGCTTGAATTTTCTTCAATCAATGTTTTGAGCTGGCCGACAGAAGGCCTACTGCAACCTTCCCTGCCTTCAAGATCTAAATTTCCAAAACGAAATCTCAGAAATCATCGCTGCACTGTGCATTCGCTAATGCTTCCCTCCCCCCGAACTGTATTGATGTTACGCACCATTTGAGCCACACTTTGCCCAAGTTTAAATTCGTACAAATAAATTTGACAAAATCAAGTTTAGACATATTTAATTTTTCAGGTCCACTCTTATAAAATTCTACATAAACTAAAATTTTTGTATAAAAGAAACTTTTTAAAATTTTTTTTATTTGTAGTACATTATAACTACCTTCAAGTAGGTAACAGGTAAAAAATGAGCAAGGTAATAATATAAAATTAAAACCAAGAGTGGAGAAAATACCCATTGGTATTATTACAGTGTTACTAAAATATTGTCTGTTTAATTGATATTTGTGTCATTGTCATTTTAACTATCATCACCATCACTTCATAGGAGATCTCACGGCCATTGTCTCTTTGGTCGGCGGAAAGGGTTCAAGGGGATTCGTCTAGATGCAAGGTTTCTGATGTGCTGATTTATGGTAGTTGGGAGGTTTTTATGAAATCTGCAGTAACGGGAACGTCTTTCATCTTGACCGAAAGGGATATGTAAGTCTGTATGTGTAGTTAGGTTCAATAGATACACTGGAACATCTAGTATTTTTGTAGTATGAAGGACTGGTCAGTTTGAATGCGGTGGATGTTGGAATGTTTGACTGAACCCCATACTTTCAGCCCATAAGTCCATACCGGCTTAACTATGGTGTTGCAAAGCAGCCTTTTATTTTTGAGAGGTAAATTAGAACGTTTGTCAGAAGTTGTGCAAGAGCTTTATATCCATATCAGGCTGTCAATGTACTGTCCAAGGTACTGCACCTTGTCTGCAGTTGGGAGGGGAATATTATTTAAGAACACAGAGGGGAGATATTTTTACAGAGAGTGAAGGTAATGTTGCTGGATTCATCTGTGTTAAATTTTATTTAACTTAACTATTTTTTAACTAGCTCTTTTCACCTCAAAGAAGCCAACGCCTTATACAAAAATGTCTTTTCTATACCGACTTCCTTCCCCGCCCCTTCAAAATCCAACGTATATAAACATAAAACAGCAAAATCTCACTGGCACTCTCAACACGACACGCAAGAATGGCACATTACACAGAAGACAAACACTTTGGATGAGCAGAAATACCTTGATTGAATATAAAAAATATATTTTGCATTGTATAAATTCACTTTTCCATATTCTAAATGTATTTGTTAAATGTAAACAATGTTTGTAAATCCCAGGCCCTGAAGATGATCTCAATAAAGATCGAAATGTTGTCACGATAAAGAAAATGTTTTTCTGAAACCTACATCACACCAGACCGCATCTCACGATTTCTGAATAATTAGTTAAATTTTATCCTTTTCTTTTTACACCAAGACTCCAGTAGTGTGATGAGGTTTCGAGTGTTAATTACAAGGTCAGAATTGCTAGAGAGAATTGCTGTATCGTCTGCAAATGTGAATGTGGTGGTTTCGGGATGTGATGGCATGTCAACTGTGAACACCTGGTATGGTGTGGGGGCCGGAATTATACCTCGAGGAACACCAGCATGGATGGGGAAATATGCAGAGTGAATGGCCTTCTATAACTTGGAAAAATCGGTCAGTGAGGTAACTGTACAGTAAGGTATTAAATCCATAAATTAGATTTCAATTTAGTTTTGTTTACATGACAAGCATCTGCAAAAATAAAACCAATTTTCAAAACCTGCATTAATTTTGCACCAACTCAATACATAGCAGTAAGTAAACCGCCATGATTCAATATTTAGACTAGATTTTGCGGCTAAGTTGAATGAAATAAAAATTGTGTTTTCCATTGTGTATAGATGTAACAGCACATGGAACATTCACGCACTCATGTAGCATGCGCATTTCATAAATGTTTAACTATAGTAGTACAACATCGTAATTCATAATTTGAGAATCCTTCTTCCCATTTAAGCCTATGCCCCTGTAAGATGTAAAATAAATTCATGTGTAAACTCAAATTAGTTCAGTTTATATTTCTTGTGCTTGTAATTATATGTTGTGAAAAAATTGTTATTCATCAATCACCTGCCATAAAGTATAAAACAGAAACAAAACAATGGTAAGATTAAGCAAGACCGTTAGTATTAGCAAGTTAAAACATGTAACAAAGCATGGCTAAATTAACATAAATAATATTAAACACAAACATAATGCTTGCCTGTTTGGTCAGTACATCTCTGAAGAGTTGACAGACCCCAGCTTCTAATCTGAATATAGCTTGATTCGCAGGTGTTCTTAGGTCAAGGATACGATTATCCAGTCTTGTGTCCTGATTAACTTTGATGTTAAGCCCATCCTAACATTGAAAATTATTTACAATTAATTTTATTACAATTTTATTTACAAATAAATAAACAGCTAAAAATAATTACATCTCCTTCTGTGATCGGCCTGGCAGCATCCTCAACCAAGAGTGGAAGTTGTGGTTTGGCAGCACTGACTGCCCAGAACTCATTTACCTTTAATTCGACTAGCTTTTGTGAACAACTGTCAATCTGCTTTGGCACAGTCACAACTTGGGCATATACATCTACTACTGATTCTTTAGATACGCTAAAAGTTATTTAAAAATATTTTTTTAAACTACGTAATAAATCAACTTTTTACAACAATAAAAAAAATACTAACTTAGATACAAATTTTACCATAGGTTTGCTTATTTTTTCAGACACGGCTAAAATTCCTTGAACAGTAAACTGCTGTTGTCGTAAAACAACAAAACACTGTTTGCCTAGAAGGAATTAACGTTAACAAATTACAACTTTTAATGACAAAATATCAAAATCGTCTTCACCTTTTGCTCTAGATGTTTGAAGTCTTGCCCTGATCCATACGTCGGTTTCAGCTAAGTCCGGTGTTAAACTCTTAATATGAGTGAATACCCTTTTCCTCCTTTCAGAGTCAGCAGGGTCAGAACTCGTTATCAGCCCGGTACTGCCGTATTTACCGACTGACACATCTTCCTCGGCTTCTTGAGGTTGCTAATAGAACAATTCCTTTATACAATTTACCGTTTTAATAACTCATACACTAATATAATACTCACAGCCTGCTCTGCGGCTTTTTCAGCCTTTTTTGAAGTCTTCAGTGCTTCCTTTGCAAGCTTTTTCTGCTGTTTTTTAGACAACGTTCTAAAAAAATAAAAATTAAAAAAATACTAAAGAATACTTAAATAAAATATATACTTAAAAAATGAAAGTATGTACTTTCAGCTTCACTATAAACAAACTAATAATAATTCTTCAGTGGACTGCAATGAGTGGTAATGGTATCCAACTTCTATTTGCCATGCTAGTGGTTCTGGGTTCAAATCCTGACACAGCCCATGGCTTTTTATAATTGAATGAAACAAGATTGTATTCTAAAGTAGTTTGACCCCTTGTATGTGACACCCAACAGCTGGTTTAGCCCTCCAGTATGATAAGAGCTGACTTTATTATAATTATTATTTATTCGAAAATGTTATTTAACATAATAAAATAAATAAAAACGTATTTTAATAAGTTAATAAGTTTCAGTTGGAGGTTGTTGATATTCGAATTAGATATGTCAAACTGTGAGAATCACAAACTCTGGTGTTGTTGGCAGTCCATGCATTTCTATATGAGGTATACCCATAAGCTAAGTTTCCACTGTGCAAAACTCATTCGCACAACTGTTTCAAGAGACTTGTAAGGATAAGGGGACTTTTTATTTGCTCTAAATTTTGGGGATGTTACAGCTAATATGGGGCAATTAATTATTTATGTTATCAAAATGTCGTTTGTTATATAATGCTAAATGTTTTCACACAAAAGTAAAATAACCACTAGTATCAAATAAATAAGCAAGCAATGCTTCTCGAAATGAGTCAAAAATTCTGTACATACTGCAGATTTTTCTTATGCAAAATGATAATTACGTACTTTGGTGGCATTTCTGGTTCTGTAGTTCTTTTCTAGGTTCAATACATTTTTGTTCAATATGGAACATTTACTGATAAAATGGACATGAACTATTGATTTGGTGTATATCTACCATTAGGCAGTGGGAAGTAATTAAAATCTCTTTTTGGAAAGTCATTTATTCAATTGGCTTTTTTAGGGTCAAGTTTCATGGATTGATTGATCGCAAGGCAGATCAATAGTGCGATACATGAAAATAAAACTGCTCCCTCTGACAATTCCCATCTATCAATATCCTGATACATCTCACACATAACTTATAAGTAGGTTTTTGTTCTAGGTATAATAAATATAAAATAATAATAATTATTCAGAAATCGTGAGATGTGGTCTGGTGTTCAGAAAAACATTTTCTTTATCATGCCAACGTTTCAATCTTGGCACTCTCAACACTACACGCAAGAATGGCACAGTTACACAGAAGACTTTGAGCCCTGAAGATGATCTCAATAAAGATCGATTAATGGTCACTAATCACACACAAATTATAATAATAATTTGCATAATAATACATGGCCAATACAGTCCTCAAAATTGTCGTTAAACATGATCCATCTGTGTCAGCAAGAACAACCCTTCAAGTTATAAACGGTATATTGCTTATAGTGAACAGATCAATCATTTTATCTGAACATTTCATCCAATTGATAGGATTCCTATTTATAGCAGAGCAGTTTTCAATATATAGGTAATTATGTAATTTATCCAAGTTTATTAGGAAGTACGTAATACATACTAACCTACCTGCTAAAGTAATTTATTTACATAAAGATTTTTAAAACATTAATATGTATATGTAAAAATGTGAATGGATTTGATTACAGTATCATTGTAGTATGTAATCTGTTATCTTATTTTGGCCAGTATTTTTTAAAAACTTTATGGCACTTATTAAATTATTTGATTATTTTGGAACGAGACGTCGACATTTCACTTGGGAGACTTCTCATACAATCTCCCAATTCGATCCGATAAATTATCACGAATTTTTTCTCAATAGAAGAGACTAAGGTCATGTTTTTATTTATTTTTATTTTGTGAGTTTTTAAAAAAGACATTTAGAGTTAAAAAGGGGGAAAATCTTTCCTAGGCAGCTAGGGTAACCTTTGCGTGCTGTCCACTATAACTGACAGTTTCCTATGGTTTTTCCTTATGACATTTCATGGGACTGGATATTTCTACGTTACAACCATTCGTTATGAACAATTTCTACTGTAATTAATTAGAAAGAACATTTCCTGGTTCAGGCATGGCCATCTCTAGCCCAAAAATATTCTTGTCCTCTTCAAAATGTTCAGGAGATTCTCTTGGCACTTTTAAAACTCCCCAATAAAATAAAAGAAGTTCATCGTGAAGAGGCTACAGATAGAGCAAAAAGTGCAGAGAGGTTTTGCTTGTATAAGGAAATTTTCATTGAGCACCCAGCCTTTCCCGAACCTTAACCTTAGAATTAAGAGGATAGTTGTTACATCTGAAATTTAAACCCTACGTTGTAAATGACCCATACAATGAAATTTGTCTTCTCTGTAACAGTAATGCACGGGAAGATGCGTATCACTTTCTGGGAATTTGCTCACTGCTTTCAGAACTGCTTGTATCATACTTGGGAAAGTCCGTTATATCCAGAGCTGAAATTCTGGAATATCTCATCAATAAAAAATCTCCCTTATCGTTAATATCTTTTGCTCGGCACACCTGGAGAGTGAGATACGAGTGGCTTTTAGATATGCAATGACTGTCGACACTATGAAATTAATTGTAAGCAGTTGTATACTGAACTATCATTTCTCAAGAAGTAACAAGTTTCCTTTAAATCTTACTTTTTTGTCATTCACACTCCTGCTTTATATAACTTTTTTATTTTTCTTCCTTCTCATTTGTTTTCTTTTGTTTGTATTATATATATAATTAAACGCTTTATTATGCATTAACTCAGCAGACGGCTCCTAGCCATGCTTATTATACTACCAATTGATGTATTTTTTCTATTTTAATAAAGTATTATTATTACTATAAGAAGGAGGTCCGATAGTTTGTATAAATCATGTTTTCTTTCATCATCAACATTATTATTATTAATTTCTACTGTATATTAAATGGATATTTGAAGAAGATATCCCAACACGGCAAGTGTAGATTCTGCAAATAAGCAGAAGAAACACCAACACACCTACAAACTGTGGTGCTATACTTACCCACAGGATGAATTGTTCCGGGACGTACAACCACAGAAGAGATTCAACCACTGAAATTGGTCCTAGCAATCAAGTTCCTTGATGAACTAAGACTCACTGGTACGCTACAAGCGCAAACTGAGGGAAATAATCAGCTCTTAAAGGGCACGATATACATATAAATCTTCACCTACATCTAAGAAAGTATTGCAGGAATGGCATCATGACTGACTGGACTGTTTTTCAGGAAATTATTTGGGAAACATTGCATCATAATGTATAACGGAATTTCTTTGGCTCCAAGTTGACTGAGATTGGATTAACATAAAAGAATGCTAATGCATAATGAATTGGGAAAGAAAATGTAAAAAATTATATAGAATGGTACTGTATGAATTAAAATAAATTTATTTTGTGCAAATACTTTTGAACGTCAATATATGTCCAAACTGTCTATTATTATACTCAATAATTTTTATAAGAAAAATAACACTAGTTTCTCAAGTATATTCAAGTTTTCCCATCTGAAAAGTATAGGGAAACGGAATAAAAGAATCCAATTGAAAAATAAACAACTTACTCTCCTTCCGCTCCTCCTTCGGTATTCGATACCATTTTTTCTTGAAAATAACAACGACAAATTCCAAAATATTGAAACAAAATTTAAATAATTCTGTAACTTGGAAGACGCACGATGTAAAATGTATGCAGGTAAATTCACTGTTATAAGAGCTTATCTATCATGCATGATGCTGATAAGAGCTCGAGTTTGAAGTTTGAGTATTCACTCTCAACACCCACCAGATAAGATAGAAAGGTAGATTATACAGAAGCCGGCCTCTTTACGACCTGTGAACCGCGACCAATATTGGTCTATTGTGCATCTCAATTTTTTTATATCTAGAGCTCCTAATTAAGCTTAATGCTGTTTACCAGACCAGACTACTAAGCTTTTTCAAGGGTTCCCATGTGTATGTTCAGGCCATGGCTTTCTCTCTACCAGGTTTAGGAAAAAGCCTGCGTTTTCTTCTTTTTCTTGGCAATATCTGCACAGGCTTGTTTCTGCCACTCCGAGTCTGTCCATATGCCTCCGGCGACTGCAGTCCAACTATTATTCTAGTCTTAGCACGTCCCAGATTTAGTAGTTGTTAGTTTCTGCGATGGTCCTTTGATAAACTTTTGCATGCTTCTGTCCCGGCTATATTCCCATTACTTATTTGGCTAATGGGTCCGTGTTTTTGGCAGTTTGGAAAGCCACAAAAGGGTTCAGGGGCAATAGGTGTCCTCATCAAACTTTCCTTGGCCAATTTGTCAGCTTCTTCATTGCCCCTCTGCCCGTTGCAGTATGCCCTGGTACCCAGAGGGTAATATTGTTATTCCCAATGCCTGACAGGACTCTTAATTCAATCCCACATGACTCTGGACTTTACCGCCGATGCGGGAATTGCCTTCGGTGCCTAGATGGCTATTCTTCAATAACCCATTGATAATCCCCAGCCTTTTATCTCCCTGGTACAGATTTCAATAGCCTCAGTTTCCGCTCAAAAAACATTGGCATATTGTCCAATTCTAGTCCTTGGTTTATTTCCGTAAATGCCAGCTCCTGATTCATATTCAGTTTTGGGGCCATCTGTAAACCAAATATGGTCAACATTAACTGGGATCCCTTTCTCCCTAATGTCTATTGGGGAATTTAAGGGTCATGGCATCAACAGGCATCCCCAGAGTTCTGTCTAGCTGAAGCTCCCATCAAAGCTTTAATTGCTCTTTGTTATGAGAGAAGGCTATTGGAGTCTATTCCTGCATTAGCCAACACTCAGGGTTCACAAGATCGTTACATTCGACTTAAGATACTTGCTGCCATACTTAGGTGGGATAATTTCTCTACATGTTGGACACAAGCGGGCTTTGAAAGGAAATGGCCTATCCTTAATCAGGTAAAGATTACGTTTCTACAAGTCAGATCCTGCAAGGGAAATCTATTAACAAACAGCATTCTTGAAACATGATTTCTTTGTCTATCCGGCCCACTGATGCTGCCACTGTCTTGTGTCAATGTTCTTTTTATTTCATTTTTAGATTAGAGGGCTACGTTGGTACATCCTGGTTTTAGCCACGACCGCCATTTTGTTACTTTCCAGTCCAGGTACCAGACAACCAGTTTTCCCAAGACGCATGTAGTTCCCCATTCAAGAGCTCACCCTGTTCTTCATATAAAAAAATATTGTTTGATATAAAGGCAAATACGACCTAAAACATTGTCAGCCACAGATAATAGTGTAGGCGAAAAATACCTACTATACCTTCTTCTGAGGTGATCATACAAACATAGGCAGTTTTGTTCAGCAGTCTATAATTCATAAAATCAACAATAAAAACATTCATATTTGTTCAGTGGTCATAATTGACCATATTAATTGTTCCAATTAATTATTCTTTTTATCTAAGGGTTTTGAAAATATGGCAAAAAGAGGGAAAATTCGGATGTTTGTAGGTTGAAATGAGGAGTTGGTGTCCGAGTGGATCGAAGTAATGATAGCTCAAGGTTCGAATCCCACTCTTGACACGAATTTTTCATCTCAACCAAAAACCTTATATAAAAATGTGTAGAGATTAGTGATCGTTAATCGATAGTTATTCAGATATCCCGACCGCATCTCATGATATCTGAATAACTTATATAAAAAGAATAATTATTTAATTGGAATAATAAAAACATTTGTAACCCAGCCAACCCAAATCCACCCTAAAATCAAAATTCATTTTAAACTTTATTCCTTTTTATTTTATCTAATACAAACAAAATAATGGATTAATTAATTTATAAGTTATTTTAATAATAATAATAATAATAATTTGTTTCATAGAAATTTTAAACAGAAGTAGTGGGTGGGAATAAAAGTGTTCTTCTGAAATCAACAAAACTGCCCACCCAAATTGACCCTAAAATCAAAATTCATTTTAAACTTATTCCTTTTTATTTATTTTATCTAATATAAGCAAAACAATAGATTAATTAATTTATATGTTATTTTAATAACAACAATTTGTTTCATAGAAATTTTAAACTGAGGTGGGGGGTGGGAATAAAAGTGTTCCTCTGAAATCAACAAAACTGCACACTTTAATAATATTGCAGATTACAAAAATTGAAACAAAATATTTAATAAATATAAAACAAGACAGATTTATTTATTTTTCAGTGTTCATGTAATCATGTAGCTTAGAATACATAACAGATAACGTATCTACAGTTTTGATATATGCAATGTGAATGTTTTCTTTAAAGATACCGACATACAACTGCACTTGTTCATCAGTTGTCAGGAAATTGTAGGTGTTGACTGTGTAGATCCCAAGGTTTAAAATGTTCTGTCGTAGCATCGCCGACACAGACTTAACAGATTCATAAAACAGTTTGTACGCCGAATTTAAGAATTGGCTCTTAGGGATACTCGGTCTCATCCTATTCGCATTCTTGATTATCGTCGACGACACTTGTTTGTATAGGCCATGATCGAAGACACTTAGCCCAAACATTGCAAGTCCAAATATCAATGAAAATATGAATATTACTTTTACAATTGAGCGAATAAAAGACCAACCTGGAAAACAAAATACAAAATTTACATTATTTTTTTAAATATTTTTTTTAAAGGAAGATTTGTTTTTAAACATACCTGTCCTAAAAATACTTAACGGTCTTTTTTCTTCTGTCAACATGTCATCTAGTCCATACATAACTTCTTTATAAAGTAAAATATCTTCATTCGTAAATAATTCTGCTGCCTGCTCAGTAGATTTTGTGTTATTTTTCTTCTTCTTTTTCTTTTTATTTTCCTTCTTTTGTGTCAATTGCTGTTGCTCTTTTTCTTCTGAAAGAAAATCAATATAATGTAAGTTGATGCTTAGAGATCCTATTTTACCGAATTGTGAATGAATTTAGATTACATAATACAGGTATAATTTTTTTCACTTTTGTCAACAATCCATTTTACATTTTAAAATTAAACATCAGACACTCAATATCAACAATACATTGGTAGGAACTTTAAATATTTAACAATTCTCACAGCATCTATTTGTGAGACTTTTCTCCTTAACCGAAAAGAATTCAATAGTTTCAAAATAAAGAAAAAAAATTGTCAAAAGATGTGAAAGCAATAATGATAGCCCAGTGGACATAAAACAAGAGATAAAAGAATTAATTGAGGTAATCGGCATTACTGGTTGACTAAAATCAAAAACGCTAAAATATTTCAAACGCACGGTGAAACCATGAGCCTTGGAGAATCTTAAAAAAAATTTGAATAGACTTGCTGCTAAGACTTGCCTGAGGATAGGCCACACCCGGTTAACCCACAGGCACATCCTTATTGACAAAAGAACAAAGCTGTCCCCAGTGATTACCCCAATTGTGAATGTATTTATAGGCACAAATGGCTAAATTTGTATGTGTGTGGTCTGTAGCAAAGTATACAGTGCCGCATAAACCTGCCGATCTAGGTAGTTAGTTCTTGTGTGTTACTTGGGACACCAAGTAATATTAAATCCACAGCGGCTACCCAACTTTTAACCTTTTATTTTTACATATGGCTTGAACAAGTCTACTCTGTAAGAATGTATTTAATAATTTAATCTGTACATATATTCAGTAGTTATAATTGACAATATTAATTATTTTAATGAATTATACTTCTAATCTAAAGTCTTAGTTGAGATGAAAAAGGATGCGTCACGAGCAGAATTTGAACCTACCCAAAAATATCGTAAAAAGAGGGAAAATTCGAAAGGTTATAGATCGAGTTGAGACGTTGGTGTCTGGGTGGATTGAAATCACAATAGCTCAAGTGGTTAGTGCAGCAGCATATTCAGCCGAAGTTCATGGGTTCAAATCTTAAGACCTTAAGCCGGGTTTCCACTGCACGAAACTCACTCACGCAATTGTTTCGCAAAAATTGTCTCGTGTTATGGAAACTTAGCCAGGATAGCGAAACTTTTGGCACAAGGATGTATCGGGGTGAGCCGACTGGCTGTCGGTTTTTTTCGCTCTTGTCTAGAATATGATAATGAACCAGGAATGCATTTGACTTATCTGAATGAATCACAGCTACCAATTTTTGTGGGATGCTAAATATAAAACTCTAACTAAATAAAATAATAAAAAATAATAATAATAAAATAATAAAGCAACTTTTTTTTACATAAAGATCGCTGTGATAGCAAATGCTGTTGCAGCAGTTTATGTTATAAACGGCATGCATGTCTCACGCAACTGATGGTTCACCTTGTTTCGCCTTGTGGAAATGTTTAACGTGAGTCAGTGTTCTGAGTGATTTTTTCGCGCGGTGGAAACCCAGCTTTAGATTAAAAGTATACTTAATTTTTAAAAAGTATTTATTAGCGAGGATGATGGGAGGACATCAAGGTTATGAACATCCTGTCAGCTTTGCAACTTTTTTAAAATTATCTTTAGAGGTTAGGCTATGACTTGTAACAGCAAGAATGTGTACATGATATTGAATTAAGAACATATAACCATGTGTAACAAGTAAAACAAACATGAGATGTAAAATGTGTCAGGAGATAGAAATAAGCTTAGCAATTAGCCAGCAAAAAATATTTAAAAAAATAAAATTGGATTAATAGAGTTGACAACAAAAATAACAGATTAATAAAAATATTTGCTATACCTAAAACTTCTCAACATAATTGATATCAGCTTTTAATTTTATATAAAAAAAATTAATTGATTTAAAAAAATATATAAAAAACAGGGATAAGGCTAATTTGAACTAAAACAATCAGTCCCATAGTCAATCTTTTGAAGAATATATCTCCTCCATCAGGACTTGGAAGCTATTATTAATAATTTACAAGGTTAACAAATATGAACATATACTTACAGTGCTGACTTATGTTTTCAAAAATAGTGAATATCCGATGGTGTAGTGGGTCAAGATCTTCAACCTGTTCATTCAATATCAAAATTGTCCTTGTGAATTGTTAATAATTTCAAAGACCTGATAAAGGGAGGATCCCTCAAAAGTTTGACGAAACAATTGTTTTTTTTTTGTTTTTTGTTTTTTCAAATCGACTTTATAACTTGTTTTTTCAATAAAAGTTAAAACACCAAATTTTCATTTGTGAAAATAAATAAAAATAAATAAATCGTGTTGAAAGAATTCCTGAAAAATCTAAAAAGAAACTAAAAAACTGAAAATGGGATGGCATTTGAAAAATTATACACAATATTGTCCGATGGTTTTAAAATTAGAATTAAATCTTGATAAGATTAGAAATAGTGTAAATATTTGAGTTTATCTTACTCATTAATAGAATGACAAATTTTTCGAGGAAAAGAAAATCTGAAAATCACATCAGTCAATTTCTACTATTTATTAACACAAAAAATTAATATATGGCATAAATGCTCAGTTTTCAACTGGAATGTGTGCAATCTTTCTCTGTAAGCTCTATTTATGATAAACATTATTTATTGCAGGTGCTTTAAACTTTAAGGTTACAATAAATAAATTAAATCAAATTTAAATAAGCAAAAATAAAGAGAAACAAAAAGTATATGTTGTATAAAATGACTGTTTCAAATTTTGTATAGCTTTTCTAGCTAAAAAGTTTCAAAATGTTGTTTTGCCCACAAAAATATATAAACAAAAAATTACTTTTTCTTTCTTCTACGTAGTGAAAAAGAATCCTGTTACGAAGAATATTACAAAAGCGCGACTTACGTTTTTCCAAATTCTTAACCATGATGTGCACTCCGAAGACACCTGTTTCAACAGTTAGTTAATACTGTTAGAGTTATTGAGCTAAATAAACTTCTGTTTTGTTCGGTTGATTTATTCAAAAGTCACACGCCTGAGCCAGTTCAAAAATTGTTTCAACACCTTTTCAGTCATTGTACATATTTAAAATTTCATTTTAGAAATTTTATAATTAGAGGACTGATATTAGTACAAAAGAAAGAAAGCATTAAAAAATTGAATAATACTTTTTCACTTTATATGAATGACATATTAGCCATTGAGTGTAATTTTGAAAAAATTGAAAATAATATTAAATCAATAAATTTCCTAACCATTTTCAAATTTTGCCAGACCGACCGACCAAATATTTTTGGCAAATAGACAGAAGAATAAAAGTAATTTGCCCAATGAATTGACAATATTTACCATGTTTCCTCTTTTGTTCCTGTTTCATTTTGTTCTCCTCTATGGCTATGTTGCGCATCTGGGTCATATGTCTGACAGCGTTCTTCGCCGCGGTTTGACAAGCCTGACTGTCTTGGCAATGGCCGACGACTTTAGCCAACGACGGAGTCAACGGGTTGTCCTTGAGATCGAGCCAACGCAGTGACCGCAGGTCTGAGAAGCTGTGAGGCAGAGCTTGCAGCCGGTTCTGATATAAATCAAGGTACTTCAAGTGAATGAGAAGGCCAAAGTTTTCGGGCAACTCGGTGATTCTGTTCTGCGACAAGTCTAGCTTAACCAGGTGGGTGAGCAATGTTGAAAAATTGTTCTGTAAAACATTTAATTTGTTCCAAATTTTTAAAATTTTATTATAGTAATCAAGGCAGACACTCACCCCTAGGGATGTTATTCTATTACTAGACAAATCCAAAAAAACTGCCTTAGGAATGGTAGCCTGGAAATATAAAAATGATTATTAGTACAAAATATTACTGATACAGAAAGAGAACAACATTTGAAAGCACTGTCTACAACATATATATTATAGAAATATATTAGAATGATCAACTAATAAACAAAAAGGAGCAAACATGTTTTATTTAAAAAAATTATGATGTATTATTATTTTATTTGTACCCAAAACATATTCCTACAAATTAATTCCTATTAATTAACAAGCCTAGGATAATATTCTGTAATGCTAATTGGTATTGTATTACATACTTTCCAGGAACTTTTTTTACTGAGCTTTATTTCAAGTCCACTTTTAATGCTTCACATTTACAAAGAGTTTGATGTCTCTGGTTTCTCCTGACAGAGACGGTTATGTTTCCATCTCAGCCTTGTCCATCTTCTTCAGGTGATAATTTGGGTATTATTTATTGATTCTTAGAAATTATTTTTTATTATTATTTGGAAATCGTGTTGTGTGGTAAAGACTGAATTTTCCGAATAATCATCAACTAATAGTCACTAATCACCACACATTATTTTTTATTAGCACCTAACGGAGATAATATGTTCCACTTTTATCAATATTATTTTTATTTATTATTCACTAGCCCAACTACAACATAGTTTTTCAATAGTGCATTTCAAATTTTTAACTGGCTCAAATAACCAATTTAATCTGACATCACATTTGACTTTACATAATTAATTATCTTTACATACGTTAATATCGCAGTACTACTAAGATTATTATCATAATGGCTTTTAATAAATAAATGGTTGAAATAAATACATGATTAATCAAAAAATAATTAACAATAAATTAGTTTTTATCATCACACAAACAACTTATGCTATCACTGTGACCACTTCAACCAATATTCAACTTATCCTGCATAGTTCATGGTGAGATGTGCTGCCATTTGTTCCCCAGATGAAAAAACTCACCAAAGGGAGTTCGGAGTGGAACTTGAGGAATCTTTCGTAAATGGTAGGTATTTCAGCTCCCGATGTAACTGAGACTTACACACATACCAGTCAGCACTGACAGCAATTTTCAATCCTGGAGTTACCTTATTTTGGAGGTAGAATACAGGTTGCCTCATAACACTTTATAAATTATAAGTCACTCAGTCCTCAGTTAAGATTTTTGGTTGTTGATCAGTGTGTAAAGCAAACCCAGTCGAACATATCCTTCATTTACATTTTTGCTTTTATATGTATTCCAAGTAAACTTCCACGACTGTGCTGTCTTTGGGATTCCAAGGATGTTTATTACTTTTTTTTCTTTTTGAGGGGGTTTCATAGTGTAAAACTCTTATTTTCATTTGCTGGGGTTAATGCGTAATCTCCAGGATGAGATGATTTCCTCCAAGGCAATCTGAACGCAAACAAAACCTATGATGTCTTTTCTAGTAGCATAGATTATAGCATCATCAGCATACACAGGCTTGCTTGCATTTCCAGGATTTGGGAAGTCCGATGAAGATATTGAATAGGATATGGGATAGAACAGATCCTTGTGGTGTGCTAGATGTTTTTTTTTTTTTTTTTTATGCAAGCTAGGAGGAATTCACAATAACCATCTGCATCTTTGTGAATTTTTATGGAGAATGCAATTTCTAATAACGAAAGTTGTTCCGTTCTTGGAGTTCATGCAATTTATTAAAGCTTTGTACAATCCGAATTCTACTGATTAACCACTTATGTGTTTACATCATCAATAAAATCAACTTTTTGGTTAATCATTGAGTGTTATTTTGCATACTTTTCCAAAAAAAAACCCCTGTGAAGAACTATTGTTCTGCCCCAAACATTAGAAAAATCGATTTTGGTGTACAATAATTATGCATAGAGAATTTCCAGCTCCTACAGTGTTTGTGAGATCTTGAAGCTTCCAAAAGCCACCTCAAACGTCAAAAAACATTATTTTTTAGTAATCTCCTCTTCGAAATTGGGGACAGTACTACCAAAAACTCTATGTGCCCAACAGTCAAAAATTTTGATGTAATTCATTCAATTAAAGGTAAAAAAACCCATAATTAATGCTGAGATGATCTATCATCTTTCGTGACTTGCAATGAACGCCCATCTCAAGACCTCCTTGCCCCTTAATCTCTGACACTGAGTGACATGGCATTAGTGTTAGTGTAGTGACCAATAACATTTAAAAATTTTGTAATTTCATTTGTAATATGTACAGATATGTATAGAGTACAAATAAAATAATTGATCGTGATGGTGATGATGCGGATACTAGGAAGTGGAGTTTGTGCTGCCCAGGCACTGCAGCGTTTGGCTTATTGTACCTTCCTAGTTCCCTAGTTCAGTGCAATCGACTCAATCCTTCTTCTTCAGGTATCAGGTCATTGACTGCTGCTGCTATAATTTCATTTCCTAGATTTTTTCTGTGAGCCATTGCTTCACATTTGAAGATGGTAGTGTAGCTGTTTCTTCCTCCTTAATACATGGGATCATCGTTATATATGCCCATGTTGTGTAGTTGTTTTCTCAGATGCCAGTGACCAGTTAATAGTCTATCACTGCTCTGAGTTTAGCCCTCTCTAATTGCAGCGGTGATTTTGCCAGTCTTGGTGAGGGCTGTGTCATCATAAGTTTACTGTGTAGCGCCACTAGAGTTTATCCATTTATCCTTTAGGTTTGTTTGGATCCATTCTGGGATGGAGAATTCTATATTTGTTTTTGTTATTCTCAAGTATAGGTTTGGGGCCTATGTTTGGTCTTGAAGATCCTCCTCTGGCCAATTTGCTTTTCCATTACTCAAGATTCCCTTATTTCCGGGTACCCAAGATACCACCAGGTTGTTGTGTTTCCTAGGTTTCACAGATTTTGGCTGCACCCAGGGAGTAATTTTTGGGGGATTTTTTTACATGCTAATGCTTTAATAGCTACTCATCTATCTAATAAGGATTTTATTGCCAGTTTAAAATCTTTCGAGATTTTCTAAGGCACAAGCATTGATGGAATTTCTGCTTGAAAACCGAAGTGTACTTTCCTAATAAGTTTGATTGACATGTTGTGCAGAAATTTTCTCAGATGTCAGTGACCAGTATATTCCTATCACTCATTTGAGTTTAGCTCTCTCTAACAGTAGCAGTGAGTTTGCAATTCGTGATGAGGGTTGTTTTACTTTAAGTTTACTATGTCTAGTGCCCTCTAAAGTTTAACCACTTCACCTTGTTTTTTGTTTTTAAATCCCCAGAATAGATTCTGGGCCTATATATTAGTCTTGCAGATCCTCCCCTGACCACTGTGACTGCTTTGTCATTACTCAAGATTCCCTTGTGTCCTGGTACCCAAGATACCACCATAGTTATGTTTCCTAGGTTCACTGTGCCTAGTGTCCCTAGAGTTTAACCAAGTCACCTTTTTCAGATCCATTTTTTTTTGTTTTTTAAATCCCAAGAATAGATTCTGGGCTTATATATTAGTCTTGCAGACCCTCTCCTGACCATTGTGACTGCTTTTTCATTACTCAAGATTCCCTCATGCCCTGATACCCAAGATACCACCAGGTTGTTGTGCTTCCTAGGTTCAGTGTGTCCAGTGCCACTAGAGTTTAAGAGTTTAACCACTTCACCTTTTTTAAATCCATTTTTTTAATCCAAGAATGTGTTCTGGGCCTTGCAGATCCTTCCCTTGCTAGTGTGTGCTTTTTCATTACTCAAGATTCCCTTATGCCCTGGTACCCAAGATACCGCCAGGTGTTTCCTAGGTTTCGGAGATTTTGGCTGCATCCGGTGAGTAATTTTTTTGTGATTTTGTTTACATGCTATTGCTCTAATAGCTGCTCGTCTATCTGATCTTATAAGTTTAACCTCTTTCGAGATTTTCTAAGGCACAAGCATCAATGTATTTCAGCTTGAAAGACCGAGCGACTCTTATTTTAGGCCTGTACAAAAAAAAAAAAAAACCCAATCCGGTTCCTTTGTTCGTTTTGGAGCCATCTGTATACCATATCATTGTATCCATTGATCTCGTGAGTTCTTCCTCTGATTTATAGTCCGTTGAGACTTTATAGGATGTTGTTAAGAATGTTTCCGGGATCATATAGACAGTCCCCATTTCTAAGTATGTCTGTTTTTATTAATTAATTATTTTTTAAAAATATTAATTTTTATGCCAAGTTATTATGGAAAATAAACAAATAGAAATGTCCGGGTTTTTTGTCTTTGGGTGTATATTACAATTTTTCTATTGACCTGGAGTTTATGACTGAACTTGGTACTTACCACTCTTAAGCATTTTGCTATAAGTAATGTATTGATTGTAAATATTATCTGTTGAGCTAATTATTTTGTTTTGTTTTTGTATTGTAAAATGTAAATAATACTCACGATTTCTTTGACTGGGACCTCTTCGAGATCGCCCAAGCTGAGGTCGATGGAGTTGTCATCGTCGAAGTACTCCTTGATGTTGATCTTTTTCTTCATTGTTGTCGTTTGGACGTCTCGCGTCTCCGGTCAGTGGTGGCTCACTACGTGGCGGTGTGTCGGTGGCAGGTGATAACGCATGCCGGCCGAGCCGCTCTCGCCTTCCCTCGGTGTCTTTCCACTTTCAAGGAGACGCCGCGCCGTCGCGACAAACCGAAGCCCGACACGTCAGGGAGTGGGAACGGGCAGTCCCGATTTTCCTTCCCTTTTTCCGCCTCGCCGCACCACTCGCTCCAAATCGGAAATTTAGACGCCAATTTTATTCAATTGTCGGTGGTTTTCATTTAAAACCGCCTCCTGCCTCGAACTGGAAATTTACGAGTTTTTTTAAATAGGGTTTTTGTTGTTGTTTTTTTTCGCGTCGCTATAAAACAGTTCTTCTCTCATTTTTTCCCCAAAAATTCTCTACACCTTACTCTACTTATTTATTTTAAATATTTTAATATTTATTTTATAATTCCTACTCTTCTTTAAAATCCTAAACACCCCATAGCATAACAACACTAATTTTACACCAGCATAATATTTGCTTTACCCAAGAAACCAACACCTATGCATTTCGTTCCATAAATCATTTGCTTTTTGGAAATTATTTTTTTTTCTCTTCTACTGCTACTAATCTCATGTCCTCCTATCTCTCTGACAAAATTCAGAGAGTTAAAGTTTCACCAGGTGTACACCAAGGCTCTATCCTTGGACCTTCACTATTTCCATGTTTCTAATCTTCCATTAAACACTGATCTTCATTCTCCCAACTAATGGTCAAGAAATAACTGCATTCTTTTAAACCCTAACAAATCCCAGTCTTTATTAATGTCCTTTAATTTTTTATAATAGTTTTATTTAATTTTTTATTATATTACATTTTTATTATATGTTTTATTAATTTCCTTTAATTTAATTCCTATCCACTCCTCATATCAACAGTTCCCCTACTAATTTTTGCCTTTAAGTTAAAAATCTCGATTTTATTTTTAACAACACACAACAATACCGTGTGAGCTCTATGGTTAAAAAAGGTTTACTGCCTCCATCCATCCCTAACCATACTCATCTTCATCAATAATTAATTTTATGATGTTATATAAAGAAAACATACAAAGTTTAATAATTTTTTCATTGTATTATTCTACAACTGCTCTTTAGAACTATTTAATGTCCACAACAATATGCCATATTTACACTCAGCATAATATTTTCTTTACCCAAGAAACCAACACCTGTGCATTTCGTTCAATTTGCTTATTTGGAAATTGATGCATTTTTTTGGTTTTTCTTCTACTGCTAATAATCTCATGTCCTCCTATCTCTCTGACAGAATTCAGAGAGTTAAAGCTTCAACTTCTATCTCAGTTTCACCAGGTGTACCCCAAGGCTCTATCCTTGGACCTTCACTATTTCCATGTTTCTAATCTTCCATTAGTCTGTGATCTTCATTCTCCCAACCAATGGTCAATAAATAATGGCATTCATTTAAACCCTAACAAATCCCAGTCCTTTTTAATGTCCTTTATTTTTTATTATATTTTTATTTAATTTTTTATTATATTATATTTTTTTTATTATATGTTTTATTACTTTAATGCCTATCCACTCCTCATGTCAATGGTTCCCCTATTAATTTTTGCCTTAAAGTTAAAAACTCGATTTTATTTTTAACAGCTTACATTACACAACAAAATCGTGAGGGCGCTATTGTTAAAAAAATTTCACTTATGCCTCCATTCTCATCTTTATCAATAATTAGCTTTATGATATCGTATGAAGAAAACTTACACAGTTCAATCATTTTTTCATTGTATTACTCTACAACTGCTCTTTTAGAACTGTTTAATGTCAAGAAAACGTTATTTGCCCTAATAATGACATCAATTTTTTTTCTCCTAAAGTATCTTTATTAGTTTACATGAAATGTCCTTTTTTTCACAGTATCTCACTTATGTAAGGAATGTAAACAGATTAATATAATTGCTTAATAATAGTCCTGGAACATGAAAGAATGATTATTGATCTGGTTAGCCATTTTGACTTGCTATAATTGTTCTTCAAACAAAAACATTTCAACAATCAACCTCACTTGGCTTATAGGAATCAAATGTCTAGTTTATCATAAAAAAATGATGTTTGCTATTTTTATCATATTTTTTTATATTTTTAATAGTAGACTGTGTATTGAATATATCAATGAAACAGATCTTTTTGATGAATTAAATGAACTAGCCTATGAAGTTGTTAAAAAGTATTTTACAGATCAAAATTGTATAGTAGTCATAAGTGATGAACACAGGCTGAGGTATTTTGGAAGAAACCTGAGTTCTAGCATCATTCATATTTCTTTCGAAAGATTTCACTATGATTCAACTGGTTTTGAATTGTTCATACAAGCATTCAGAGATAACTGTGACTTGTAAATTCCGATTTAAAAAAAAATCAAGAAACTTTTATGCAACTCAACCATATTTACAGTTACATTGTCCAACTAAATGACCCTGGTCGTGCAGTAAAAATGTGGACAGATACTCTAGAGTTGACTCTGGACAGGCAATATCCAACATTTTTCTTTATGCCCAATTCTGAAAAGAGCATAGCAGAAGAAATTTTTAACTTGAGAGACACTGAGAGAATCGCGAACATTTTAGTCGCCGAATACAACAATTCGACAGGTAAACCAACAAAAATTGCAATATTATAATAAAACATTTAATAATTTGAAACATTGTAGACTGGCCTGTTTTACTTTTCACTAATAATTTCCGACAATCTGTCGGCACGCTAGGAAGAAATGGTAAAATTTTTCTTGATAGATGGAATGCTGAAAGAAGATTTGAAAACGATGAAAATTTGTTTCCAAACAAGCTCCAAGATCTTGGTGGAAAAGGTAGACATAATTGTTTCAATTTTGTTAACAATAAATTGTACATTTTGACAATGATTTATTACTAAATGTGCACACAGAACTGTAGAGTCTGAAATTGTGAACTTTCTCATACAACGTATTAATCAAAAATTATTTAACCTTTAATATAACTTAAATATTTCCTTAACTAATTTTCTAAAGGACTTCATTCCTCTCAAAATTTTGTGAAAAAAAAAAACTTCACCTTACATATAAAGAATAGATTTTTGTACAATGTAATAGTACATTTTACAAATAGATAATTCAGAAAATCATACATCTCTCCTAATCATAATGTAAGAAGAAAATGAAACAATGAAGGATTTTTTTTTTTTTGCGATGGAGGCAAAGTGAGTGAAATATAATCAGAATGGAGGAGCCAATAGAAAGCTGGGCGACGATGGCAGAGGGTTGAACAGGCCCCCTGACCTTACACTGACTTATGGTTAAGAAGAAGAAGAAAAGAAAAATAACTTTATTCTGGGAGTGGTGTCCTCTAAGAATAATTTACAGGAACTAAATAAAGGAAGTTCCTTCTATGAAATTAAAAGTAAAATGAAATAGAAATCGTGGCACAATGTATACCAGTAAGGCAGGACAGAAAAAAAAATTACGAGAATATTAAACAAAAATAACAAATGTTAATGTGAGGTCTCTGCTTGGAGGGAGAGGAGGTGATTATACAGGTGGGATTTAAAGGAGGAAAAGGAGGCAGCTTGACAAATAGAAAGGGGAAGGGAGTTCCAGAGTTTAGGGGCTCGGATCAGAAAGGATCTATCGAAGGTATGGGTTGTATGCTGCGGAAGGATAAGATGGATTTGGGATGAGCGGGTCTTACGAGTGAGATGTGAGGAGTTGAATTGGAGGGATTGGATGATGTAAGGAGGACGACGAGTGAGGAAGGACTGGAAAAGAAAGCAACCTAGGAAATACTGTGCACGGAAGGAGGGGAATAGCCAGGAAAGTCGGGAATACAACCCCGACACCCGGGATCCCCGTGGGGTGCCATACACAAATCTTATGCAATAATTCATAATACGCTTCAATCCCGCATTCTCCCCCTCCGGGAGACCACCGTATGCCAAACAGCTATAATCGAAGAAGAGAAGTATAAGGGAAGATACAAGGAGTTTGCGGGTGGAGAAAGGTAAGAGAAGCCAGGACCGACGAAACAGGCTGAGGGAGGCAATGGAATGGCGGGAAATTTGGGAAATGTGAGAATGCCAGGAAAGGTTTTGGTCAAAGACTACTCCTAGATTTTTAACCGAAGAGCAGAAGGGGATGGGATGGTTATTTAGCATGAGAGGTGGGATGCTGGGGAGGGAATTGAGGAGTTGCCTGGACCCGATAATTATGGCGGTGGATTTGGACGGATTGAGGACTAGGGAATTTTTATGGGCCCATTCGTTGATGGAGTTTAGGTCTTTTTGGATCTTGAGAGTGGCCGAGTGAAGATCGGAAGGGTGGAAGGATATGTATATTTGGGAGTCATCGGCATATAGGTGATAGTTGCAGGACTGGATGTAGTCGAGCAGATCATTGATATAAATGGAAAAAAGGATAGGAGAGATGCTAGAGCCTTGGGGCACCCCAGATTGTACAGGGAGTTAGGAGGAGGTAAGGCCATTGGGAAGGGAAACAGCTTGGTGGCGATTGGTAAGGTAGGAGTGGAACCAACGGAAGGTGCTGGCGGAGAAGGAAAAAGATTCGAGTTTAGAGAGGAGAGAAGAGTGAGGGACAGAATCGAAGGCTTTAGAAAAATCAAGAAGGACAAGTATAGTAGCTTTCCGTTGGTCCATTGCTAAGTGGAGGTCACTGGTAATTTTCATTAGTAACCTTGGCGGAAGCCAGATTGGAGGGGGTTGAGAAGACGGGACTGTTCAAGGTGCCTGGAGACTTGTGCTTGGACTAATCTTTCTAGGGGCTTGGACAGGTTTGAGAGGATGGAAACGGGACGATAGTCCGTAGGGGAGGATGGGCTGGGGGTTTTATTGACAGGGTGGACAAGAGCTTTTTGCCAGGCTGTGGGAAAAACAGAGTTTTGGAGTGAGTAGTTATTGATGTGAAGTAGAACAGGTAGTAATATTGGGAGGCAGAGTTTAAGAAAATGGATAGGGATGCCATCATGGTTAGATAATTACTATTGCGTGTAGGTAGATTAGAGGTAGGACCTTGTACTCCACCGACTAATCAGGATGAAAGCAATGTACATAGGTGTGAATGTATTTATTTGTGCGATTGTACTCTGTGTGTAAGTTTAGGTTAGATTTTATTTTGCATGCTTCAGGGCTGAAATGACCTAGCTGTCAAAAGCCCTTGAAGCCTAACTTCGTCAGTCGGGTTGTGACTCCCCTGGAGCATTGGGAGTCCTAGAGACCCAGCTGCATAACAGGGTAAAGGAACTCCCATGAGGTATAAACCAAAGGGTCAGGGGGAAATATGACTTTCAAATTTTCCAAGTTGAATGGCATTTTACATTAGCATAAATTTTTTTTAATGTTTCTAATTTAAGATTTATTTTCAAAGCATAATAATTTTTATGTGATTCTTTCTTTTGTTTTTTAGAATTTCGAGTCATGGCCTTTACCTACCTTCCCTATGTCAACATAGATCCTCTAGACGGCATTGAGGTGAGAGTTACGATGGAATTTTGCAAAAAATTAAACTGTACATTGCAAATAGTTGATGACGGAGGGCTTTGGGGAAGCATCCAAGGAAATGGTTCAGGAGATGGTAAAAATCCCATTTGAAAAGTTATGCAAAGGTTGAATAATTTTACTTTTAGGATTGGTCGGCATGGTTTACAAAGACGAGGCGGATATCGGCGTAGGAGGGTCTTACCTATGGCTTGAAAATCACTTTTACACTGATTTTTCTAGCACATATCTTTATGCTGCGGCTACACTTTTGGTGCCTAAACCTAAGCCGCTCAGCGGCTGGAGAGTACCATTTTTGCCATTTAGTTGGCCAATGTGGTTTATAATTATTTTATCTATCTTAATGGCAGCATTACTTATGTACATTATTACAGCGCTTTTGAAAAAAATTCCAAGTGAGGGTTATGTATGACAAAAATACTTTTTCAAAATATTTTTTTAAAAATTTATTTATCAAATTAAAGGGTTTACACAAGAGGTTAAAAGAAAAAAACAGTTTGTAACATACACAGACAGTTTCTTTCGGGTACTTGGTATGGCTGTTATGCAACAACCAACCCAATCATTAGTGCAAAATTCACCTTTAAAGCACCTACTCACCGCATTTGAATTTTTCTTCTTAATCATCACTGTCTATTACAGCGCTGGCTTGTCATCATTCTTAACAGTACCTCAGTAAGTATTTTCTTAAAATAAAGTGTTCTCAATTTATAAATTTTTCATTTTTAGGCTCATGATACCAATTGACACTTTTCATCAGCTTGCAGCTAGCAATTTAAAATGGATCGCAAATCATGAAGCCTGGATCTATTCCATTCAGCATGTAGATGACCCAGAGGTGCAAACCGTTGTTAAAAACTTTAGGGTGGGTCATTTAGTTGTCTTTTTATATTAAAAGTGCCATCGTTTTATGAACTGGTTTATTTTCCTTTTGAAGATTATGACGGGGCAAACTCTCATAGAAAAGGCTCAAACAGGCAAATATGGAGTCGGGATTGAACGTTTGCCTGCAGGTAACTCAATAATTCTTTAGAGATGGTTCTTGGTTTCATCTCTGAGGTCCATATGGACGCTAAAAAAAATAAAAAATTCTTACGATGCTATTTGTTTTAATTTAAGTTATAAATTGTAGTCCTGATGAAGGCATTAAATAGACTAAAAGCTTGACTGGGATTTGTTTCCCTGGAATTTTTTGCCTTAGAAATGATAAATTGGTGGAGTGAGTATTTTTTCGGTTTTTCTTTTTGTGTTTTTTTTTAGAAGTGGTTACATTATCATGTCATACTTTAATCTTACACTTTACTCTTTGTAACTTATCTACTTAACAATTATTAATTATATAAATTATTAATTATTGAGTTAAGTTCTTTTGATGTGTTTTTTTATGAGTCTTCTGATGTCACATACGTTGTATGAATGTAGGAGAGAAGGCCAACAAAGAAATACTCAAAAAAGCCTCGTTTTATTTATCCAATTTATACTACACTAACATTGGGTTATTTCCAAACATTTTGGAAATTATATGTGATCATTACCATGATACATAAAACTTGTAAGCCATGTTACTACTGCCCCATAGAACTGTTTGTTTTCTAAAGTCTAAAAAATGTCTCTTATTGTCTGAACTGCTCACTAATCTAGAAGAGCACATTGCATTGCACATTTTGGATTCAGAGCATGGTATTCCTGTATATAACAGAATTATAGATTGTCAACACCATCTTGCATATCTACAAGGACACCATGTGCTACGGACTATTCATTGATATAGAGAAAGCTTTTGACTGGGTTTGGCATAGAGGAGTACTTTCAAAAATAAAAAAATTACTTTCCAGGCATGTAAAAGCGCATAACATATCAACACAATTGATCATTCTCTGTTAAATACAAATAATCTTTGCTTAAAAAAATGCATACAATCTGGTGTTCCTGAAGAGAGAGTGTGCGGTCCACTGTAATACTTCTTTTATACTTCAGATTACCCACATTTGCCAATACTTCTTAGGCACTTTTGCAGATGTCAATGCACTGTCAAGAGATGAATCAGACATAGCGTTACAGAGGCTGGGTCATTCACTGATGAAGTGAAACAATGGTGCGAGACCAACTGAACCCAAAAAAGTCCAAATTAGTCTGTTTCATGAAAAGTAGAGTCCAACCACAATCACTTCAAGGAGAAACACTACAAGATACAGTCAATTGCCTAGGAATGAGCTTACATACAAAACTGGTGTGTAACAAACTGTACAGCTCTTACAGTACCGAATTAGACAGTTAAACTATCTCTTGAACTTGAAGTCTAAACTAAACTTTGCGCCTTAGTGAGTAAATCATACGTATCAATATCAACACAAAGTCCTAACTAAAATATAATTTATTTGACAATAAAAAAATGTTAAGTAGAAAAGTTCTCCCAAATATGTTTTAAAATAAATGTAAAATATTTGAAAATCAAATAATGAAAAGTTTGTATTAATCAATATGACAGGGCACTTTGTCGAGTTACCGTACATCACAGAGATTATTATAGATACAAGTCAAGTTATGAAAGAAAATCTTTTTGGTTCACCTTTAACATTTATTAAATAATTTAAAAAAATAGTTAACTAAAAAAATTCTCCAAAATATTTTTAAAATAAATGGAATATATTTTAAATTCGATGAAAAGTTTGTTTTAATCAATATGACAGGGCACTTTGTGGAGTTACCATACATCACAGAAATTATTATAGATACAAGTCAAGTTATGAAAGAAAATCTTTTTGGTTCACCTTTAACATTTATTAAATAATTTAAAAAAAAGTTAACTAAAAAAATTCTCCAAAATATTTTTAAAATAAATGGAAAATATTTTAAATTCGAATAATGAAAAGTTTGTATTAATCAATATGACAGGGCACTTTGTGGTGCTGCCGTACATCACAGAGATTATTAAAGATACAAGTCATGTTATGAAAGAAAATCTATTTGGTTCACCTTTAACATTTATTAAATAAATATAAAAAAGATGTTAAGTGGAAAAGTGTGCCAAAATATTTTAAAAATAAATGTAAAACGTTTGAAAATCAAATAATGTAAAGTTTGTATTAATCAATATGACAGGGCACTTCGTGGAGCTGCCACACATCACAGAGACTATTATAGATAAAAGTCATGTTATGAAAGAAAATCTTTTTGGTTCACCTTTAACATTTATTATGAGAAAAGGTAATAAATTTCCATTATATTTAAATTTATATTTTTCTTTTTCTTAGAAAATTACCATTTTTTTAATTATTGTAGGGTCACCTTATTTAGAAAACTTTAATAAAATAGTCAATAATCTGGTCGATAGTGGAATTCTGTTGTTCTGGGAGGCAGAAGTTGCAAGAAGATTTCTCACTACAAGGTTATTTCTTGGTTAATGTTTTATGTTTTGTATGTTTTATTGATTTATTTCTGATTGAAGGAAACAAATTGCACTGAGCCTGGCTAGAAGCTCTCATTTAAAAAGTGGCCCTAAAATACTGACTCTTGGCCATATCCAAGGCGCCTTTATTGTATATGGCACCGGAATGATATTAGCGACGATAATTTTTGTAGTCGAGTTAAGAAAGGCAAAGAACAAAATGAATAAATGAAACAAGTTTAATTTCTCTATCTAGTAGCAAATGTGTTTCTTTATTTGCGCTTTTTCAGCAGTCAATGTTGGGTGGGCTTCTCTGACATCGACAATCCGCTGGCTTATGATTTTCAAGTCCAATCTTGTAGGGAGTTTCTTCCTGTAAATGAATTCTTCTTCTCTCTCTGGAAAATTAAACCAATTTTAGGCTTAAAATGTATATTCAGGAATATAGAAAATGTCAAATATATATAAAGTACAAATATGTTTAAATTGAAAATTTTAAAATTAATACCTAATTCTTCTTCTTCATCTGTATCCCCACCCAGTTCCCCGACGTAATAACCAGCTTGCATGTAATCCTCTTCTCCTTTGAGATCTTCAACCTCACTTTCACTGGCTGAACTTGTCTCAAAGGTAAAATCTTCATCTGGCAACTGAATGTTCTTTTGTTCTCTCTTTATCATCTCTTCTTTCATCTCATTCAGGATGATGTTAAGCTTGATTGTTATGATATCAATAATATGAGCAGCTAAAAAATAAAGTCAAATTGCTTTATTCCTTTTAAACTTGACTTTGAAAATTTTTCTTACCGTTCATGTCTATCTCATGGTTATCAGAAGACGAGTCACTGTCCGGTGCAAAGACACGCTCTGGGTCATCGTCATCAAACTCCTTGGGATCACAGTCATCAAATATATCATCGTCCTCATCCTCTTCACCCCTCATTGTGGCTACCAGGTTGGTAGGACCTGGGTTGCCAATTTTGACATCAGCAAATAATCGATTGAAATGGTAAATATTCTTGCGGAGCTGAAGAACGTATCTTCCAGCGACAGCCATTTTCTTTTTGTACTGCTCCACCTCTCTTCGGTATTTGTCTATCCTATCTTCTAGCTCCTTCTTCTTAATTTGGTATCTAGTTTATTGAAATTTAATAAGTTTTTTCATGAAAAATTCAAATTCAGGTTCAATGGGGTATTTGATATTTCGCCATCGATGTTGTTGTTCTACATACACATTCACACATATTAATACATTCTCCTGAAACAGTTAAAAATATCTATCTCCACAAATTATGTTAACTGTGTATTGCCAATTCTGAGTCATTTGGATGATACTTCTTTTATGGTTTAGATTCTTCAAGGGACACCTACCACTTTCTCGGATGACCTAGTCTACTGATTCATATATTGTTTATTGTTTGTTTATCGTTGATGTGTTAGATCATGATAATAAGGACTACTTCATTAATTTAAGTACATATTATAAATTTGTTTTTGAATAATATTCATTTCAAGTATTTACTCAGCATATAGAAAAAAGTTGCTCAATGTGCCTTACTTAATTGAAGAGTGTCATTCCTTGGCTCTATATAGAGAGTGTGAAGGTACGACACCTTATACGAGATTGTGCTTTGGGTCCCCTGTTCCAATTTTTGAAGGAAAATGCTATTTTATTGTACTTAACACTTGCTAGACTTTTTGTTTTGTGTATATTGAGAGAGAATGTATTTATTAGAGTGAATATGTAGCGTGTGAAGTTGGAATATTGAGTACTCCATCAAATCACAATTAGATTAGTTATGTGTGGAGTGTGATGGAGGAAAATCAAGTACTCCAACCACTCAACTTGAATTAATGCATGTATATAAGAAAGAATGTATTTAAAAAGAGTGTATTTAGGTTAAAATTGCTTGCATTGGGGGCTAAAATGATCAAGTCGTTGACATCCTCTGGAGCCTGACTTCATCGGTGATGGATAAGACCCGAGGTCTGATTCTAGATCACCAAAATACTGAAGTGGGTGATTCCCATAACATGCCATGGGGTCAATAACACTGCCTCACATTGAAGGGAGTTATTCCTTGGCTCCATAAAGGGAGCATTTTATGCCACCTGATATGAGAATTTTACAGTTGGTTTGTTGTATTTAACACTTGGCACACATTTCATTTTGTTTCTTTTGTGTGTATTAAGAGTGAATGTATGTATTAGAGTGAATATGTAGTGTGAGAAGAGCAATGTTGGAATATTGTGTACCCCATCGATTGTGAACTAAATTATAATGAGTAAAGGATGATGGAAAAAGTATTGTGTATTTATGTATGTGTATTTAAGAATGAGTGAGTTTAGGTTAAAACTGCTTGCCATGGGGGCTTAAATGACTTTTGGACAATCCCTGGAACTTAACTTTGGCGACAGGATAAATAAGACTGAGGTAAAATCTTAGACCGCCAAAATACCAAAGTGGGTGATTCTCATGGCTTGCCCTAAGAAGTCACAAGCTCAATTTTGGTTATACAGTGCGTATGTACAGAATTGAGCTTGTAGGCATGAAGCATGCTAAAAGATTATCCTAATCCTTTTTTACAAGTATACTTTACTCTCTGGTTTGAAGGATGTCGTTTTCTTGAATTGTCTCCAATGTATAATCCATATAATTTTTCCTAGTCACTTCAGTGTCTCGAACCATTTTGTTGATTTCCAGCTGTCGAAGAAGTCGGAATCGTTCTTTCATGACCGCTTCAATTCTAAAGAGTTATTGTATTTAACATTCTTTGTTACATAATTGACATACGTGTGAATTTACCTTGGGAACACTTCATGAGGAGCATTGCTGGTCGTAACATACATTAGAATTTTGAACTGCTCTTTACGCTTCTTCACCTTTTCCTGCAGATCTTTGATGAACTTCTGTTTTTCCTCATTCGATTGATAATTTATTTTGACAAAACTCTAAAAAATAAGAAAATAATTAGAAAAATGTGTATACATTATAAAAGCGCTTTACTCACTTCAGCTCTGGCCAGTGATGAATTTATTTGCTTAACTCTTGTGATCATTTGTTTGAATCGCTTTATTTCCTGCATGTGTTTCTCCTTTTCTTCCTTGGCCAGTTTCATTTCCTTCTTGTACTCGAGGATAAAGTTAGCCTTGTCTTCAACCGCTGTTTGACCCATTTCCATGGCCTTAAGAATACACTCTGCTTGAACAAGCATGTCGACTTTCAAGCCGTCTAAAATCTCGTCGATGTTCAACGATTCCTGTGAATATCATCAAGTCAATTTAAAATACGAATCGTAAAAATGAAGACTTAAGTTCTCTTGAGTTTGAGTTAAATGAAATGGAACCTTTTTTAAAATCCTTTTCAATCTATCATAAGTTTTTTCGACAAGGTTTGCTGCTTTAGTCTGTGTCTTGACATGCTCAATTTCTGCAGCCAATTCTTGTACTCGAAACTTTGCAGGTCCTATTTTTTCTTTTTCTGCTTCATTCATCATTTCTTCTTGTAACTAAAAATAAAAGTGCTTAGTGTAAAAAATAACAAACCAAATTTTAATGGTATTTTACCTTAGCATCAAAAAGCTTCTTGTTATTCAATTCAACCTCAAATTTGAGACGATCTAGCTCTCGCCTTTGAAGGAAAATCAAATGATCAAGGCACTCTATCACACCCTGTTAAGGACTTAAGTTGTAATTAATATGTTAGTCAATGTGAACTGAAGTCCATTACGTCAGGCGTCTGGTCTTTGCATATTAGCCAGGCCTCCTTGTCACGTTTTAAGATTTCTCTGATCTGTGCGCTATCACCTTGGCTGATGTCCTTCAACATCCGTCTGATCTTCTCTGTCTTTTTGTCCAGCTCCCTTCCCTCCTTCTTGTATTTCTCGACCTGTGCGCCTTTCTTTACCTTCATCCATTTTAATGTCCTCTCTACAGTTGGGAGAAAATGTTAGAACGTGTAATTTTCAGACCGAATCGGTGATCATCATCAAAACGGCGTTTTGTTTCATTTTAAAAATTAGAAAATAAATTTACCGTGTAATTCTGCTATGCCCTTGAGCTGCTTAACCTTGTCCTTGTCGGTCCATCTCGTGTCATTCTTTTTCAACGGGCGCTGCAGCTTTTGGTCACCATTAGTGGTATTCATCATGGTTTGGTCAAACAGACATACACTAAGAGTAATTTTGGTCTACTACTCGATTCTGGAGTTTTATGTTTAAATTTCACTATCTAGTTACAAAAATACTTAATAACTCATATGGATTTCAAAATTTGTTTTTATTCTTCAGCCTAGTATTTTAAAAATATTATTTAAATAGTATTTTTCACTAGTTTTTTTAGACTTTTGATATTTCCTTAGTATCATATAATGGTTAAAAAGTTATTTTTCACTAGTTTTTTTTGCATTATTTCAAATTTCACTATTTGTGTAAATATAAAAAAACCTTTTAAATTATCAGTGATGCAAATGCTCATCTAAACATTAAGTTAATTTATTAACAATTTTTACTATTACATTTTTATGTGAAATTAATTTCTACATCTCTTGTATATCCAAAAAGATATTTTAACTAGTTTGATTTTAGAAAATCAGTTTCTCCTACTAAAATATACTTTTACAAAAATCTATAATTTTTACTACAGCCCGTAAGTTCAAACTAAACTTAAAAATCCAACACAAGTTGGGGACTGAGATGCCCGAGTGGTTGCACGTCCAACTCTGCCATGTTTGCGGTTCTGGGTTCGAATCCTGTGCAGCCCAAATTTAATAGAGAATAGTACGAAATGTAAATTGGTTTGACCCCCATAATAAAATTTTACATTAAAGTATTGCAACTTGTACACAAAAATCACAAAACATGAATGAGTGAAAAATAAAGCATGATAACCGACGGATCAGTTCAGAATGACCAATCTACATTACCAACTTTAAAATAAGATGTCTGGGTTGAGTTAAATTAACACATTTGTTAAGCGTTGAACATTCATCAATTTATTAAATTAATATCGGAAGCAAAAAACAGCATAAAATTAACTGCATAATGTGACGATTATTGATCAAAAAGATAAAGGAAATAAGAAGATAAGTGAAACTTGTAATTACAATATATATAATCTTAATAAAAATACATAATTAAAAATAAATTGTAAAAATTGTATTTAATCACTTGAAGACACTGATTCTTTCTTTTTCTTTTTTTTCTTCTTCTTTTTGTGTTTATGCGAATTGCCAATTGAAGAGTCAGAGTCCGATTCGGAACTCGAAGAATTATGCTTTCTCTTTTTTGCTTTCTTTTCCTTCTTGTGCTTTTTCTTTTTTTTCTTATTTTTACTAGTCTCGCCCTCTTTACCCCTAGGCTTGTCCGGGACGGTTTTCAGTTTCTCAAGCAGCTCCTGGTCGCGCAGAGCACGGAGAGGCGTGATATAGTCCGTGTCCGACTCACTGCTCGTGCTGCTGACATCCAGCACGATATCTTTGTTCGGGTCGATCTTGATGAAATTACGACATTGGTACGTGAGGTGTCCCGAGTAGCCGCACTTCTTGCATGCGGGACGCATACTCTCCTTCCCCTGAGGCACAAGTCGGGCTAATATGTCAGATTCCATCTGAAAAGCATTAAAATAAAAAACATTTCAACAACAAAGTAAGGGTAATTCACAATAGTAGTTAAGTCACAGTGTATATGGTTTTCTTTTAACCAGGGACTCACGAATCAATAAAAATTGGTCAATTAAGTGACCTACAGATTAAGATCTGTTGGTTAGTTAGTTCCATCTTTCAAATGGATTAGCACTTGTAAATTCTCTCTAAAACCTTCTTATCTTGCTAATGGAGAATACTATAGAACTCTTATAAAAAAAAAAAAAAAGAGATACTTTTAAACGTATTTTCTGTATAACTTTTCTTATAGCCATGCTACAAATACAAAAAGGACTTTAAAATAGTATTTACCTTTTCGACTCCTATTTTATTTCACGATTCGTACTTAAAAATTATTGGCATGTTATTAAACCACGCTAATTTGTTGTTTGTTTATAAAACGGGAAGGTTTTTTTATTGTTACTATCGATATGGAAATCCAAGGAGCGCTACCTACATACCAGACTAACAATTAAGCAACTTATCAGTGTTGTTTTTTTAACTATAATTATTAATTGTTAATTATAAATGAAATTATGCAAAAATGTTGGTTATAGGCTTACATAAAAAATATTATTATGCGATTGATGAGTGATTTGGTCGTTACAGATCATTTTGGTCTGTCTATTCTCTTTGCGTTGGTCTGTCTAACGTGTTTTGTCTTCTCGCCATCTTCAGAGTGTCTACTCACTCGAATAAATTTCACAGTTTTATTATTTATTTATAGGACAGAATCACACTTGAGATCGGCGTGTTTCCCATGACTAAGCTAATCGTTGTGGTTGGCATTTTCTTTTGCAAAAAGCACAGCTTTTGTTTTTGATATTGAAATGCTAAAACCATTTAAAGTTTTCAAGCTATACGCTATAAAATAATTTTTTTTAAATTTTTGCTTATAATAATGACAGGGTAGGGTAATATGGTGTGAATAAGAACTGCGAATTTATAAAACGTCTATTGCCACAAATAGCACTTAGTGACCGGTACTTTTAGTGGCCCTGAAAAGGGATGGTGTTATGGCTCGAGTTGGTCGAAATCCGTGGTCTGATGACGATGAGCCGGATGATGATGCAGCAGTGGTCGGCAAATTCATTAGCTAGCGAAGGGACTCGTGCAGCAGGAAGCTACGTCGGCTGTTGAGAGTAGGAGAGACGATGCTGCGAGTACTTTGTTACTGTGGCTAGCGCTGACAGTTTGACATTGATTAACTAGGTATCAGTAGCTGGTCACCACATAGCTACCCCCAATTGTTGAACCTCTCCAAGCAGCAGGCCAATGATGAAGAGTGGCGTGATCTGTACTCCTCCCAGTCACTAAAATTGTTTTCAGATCTTCACATCGGAATCACACTTTGCTGCGAGTACTTTGTTGTTGTTTTTTACATCTATTGTATTTATATCTATATATTTTTGAAAATATTTTTTTTATAGACATAGTAAACCTGAATCCTTTTATATTCGTTACAGTCCCAGGATAAAGTCTAGTTTTACATTTAATTTCAAACCTCACGCTAACCATACCTAACCTAACGAAACCCATGCGCGCTCCCCAGTAATGCGAAATCGGTGACGAGAAAACGATTACTGATCACTGATTCGTATAAGGTCAAATCTGTGCATGCACGTACATACTAAACGCCGGTACAGAGCTGAGTCTATCACTTCTCGCAGTCCACCAGCTTTGGAATTTGGAATCATCAAGCGAGTCTCGAGAATCATCAACCCTGGGTGTTGGCAATACTAGGTCGACCTCGGTCTTATCCGTGTTGTAGCTGAAGTTCGGCTCCAGGGTTTATCAACTGCTAGGCCATTTTAGCACGCAATGCAATCAGTTCCTAAATCCAAACCCATTCACACTCTATACTGTGCCCTTTAAGAGGTATTGTATCATCCGTGGTTGTAGCACACGGTGAGCTCTAGTTCATCAAGGAATTCGATATTCACACTCTTACTCAATATTAAATATATTCTTTCTTATTTAACTGCCATCCACTCAGGGTGGTGGAGTATACGATATTCCTCTATCACCCTTTGCACCTATTGTCATGCTTCTAATTGCCAATAGCTTTGTCTTATGATCGTGGCGGAAGGATCTCTCTTGGCCTGTCGGCCTGTCTTTGGTGCTGTCCAGAACGATTTCGAAAAACGTAAAAATTTCTCTCTTGTCAAGGTGAATCAAGGCTTCCCCGTTTGTTACGTCGAAGTTTATTTGTTCGAAATCCGATAAATATATTTATTTCCTTTTAGTTTTTTTGAGTTTGTATATAATTTGTTAACGTTGTTTGAACGAAGAACTTTGTTTTGTTAATTTTAAATTTAGAACCTGGTGAAAGAGCCGTGTCATAAATTTGGTAAACCTTTTATGAGGATTACCGAATAGAAAGAGGGGTTACACGGTAGCAGAGAGAAACAAATAGTTGCGCTTAAATTTTGAATTTTATTTATAAACTTTTCGTTTAATATTTTTTTAATGGAGAAAGGTGTCTGGTCAATTTCAATGTTTAACTTTTGCTGAATTTGTGCAAAAAGATGAATTATGCGTTTGTACGTAAAAATAAACGAAGGGCGAAATGAAAATATGACAATTGTTCAGGTAACACAGACCCCCCCCCCGTGATAAAAGCAATTAACATTGATAAACACGAAAATGCACAATGAAGAAATCAGTCTGAGGCTTAAAAAAAAAAATGAACCAAAATTGTTAAAATTTTAAGAACGCTCGCTTTCAAAAAATCTGCTATACAGGGTACATACAAGAAAACAACGAAATCTGACACCATTTCAAAGAGAAATACTGTTCATTCCGACGGCGAAACCTATGAATTTCTGAAGTCCTTAAAGAAAAAATTCTCGGCACAGAAACGGTCGAACATAAACCGCTATTAAAATTACCCAATTAATTGGAAGACATAATTAAAGAAGTACCGAGATTGGTACCGGATAAACCGTGGTCTATTCTCAAATTTAACTGTACGAAATCAATGAACTAGAAAGTAATTATTTTCCGGAAATGTTAAAACGCATCGCAGCGCGCCAATTCAATTTAAAGAAAATCATAATAGACTGAAATAGATACAATGGTTTTCAATCAGTCTCAAACCGAATAACATCCCAATTAACCACAGTTAAAACGCCAATGTACCTGCTTTTATTCTAAATGCTCTTTATTTTAAAACCACATTCCCAGAGGAATACTGTGAAAAGAATTGAAGGTCAGTTGTGTTACGGTTCATTTTACGAGGGTTCACAACAGCAGAGATCATATCAACCCTCAGGGTGCCAGTGTTTTTGAAAAAAGGCCCTTTTTTTTTTGGGTTTGGAATGCAGGACTGCTGGATTCGAACCCGGGGCCTTACCGTGATGAGCGCCGTGTCAACGCCTAAAACTGCGGCCACCGACGCCCACTTTCCGTTATTAGAGCAATGCCTACGTAAAATCAGGCCATTGACGTTTCAGAAAATACGTAAATTATATTAAAAAAGGTAGGAGTGAGGAAAAATGTGAAAGTTGTTGACAATAATTTTTTAAAATGAAATTTCGTTTCAATAATTCGAATTTTAAATGGCTATACCTTGCCACCAGGATAGATGAGCCTATTTTTCCTGTAAAAAAACAATATAAAATATTTAGATCGAATTAGGCCTCTAGTGAAAAAAATGATCCAAAATTTTTTTTCATGAATGTTTATTTAAAAAAAGAAAAAAGACAAAGTTAATAACATTTTTATATATAAAAACAAAAAGAAAAACTTAAAATACCCAATAACCTTAACAGGTACATATTTTCAAAGTTATAGTACGAAAGGTGTACTATCAATTAAATAATTATATTGTCAATTCTTCCAATGTCATAACAGTGATTCACACTTCACTTGATCGCCTTGTTGACTTGAGGTAGTTTCAAAACATAAAATAAATTAAAAATAACAATATCATTATTAGTTAATAATCTTCTAAAAATAGGATAATTTAAAAATATCAATATTATTAGTACTACAAAGTACTTTTCAGAAATTACCAATTAATAATTAATACAAAATAAATACTTTTTTGTCATTATTTAGTGTACAAAACGTTTGGCACATTGCCAAAAGTAAATAGATTTACAATACTTTTACAAAATATACAATACTTTTAAAATAATTATAATTGCTTTTAAAAATTGAAAATACAAGGAATTAACTAAAGTAATGACTAGAGAATTTGGAATTTTCAATATTGCAGACGGATGCAAAGAAATCGATTATTTCTTTTCTTCCTGTAGAAAAAAAGATCTTTAGGATTATTATGCTCAGTTAGAAAAAAAAAATCAAACTTTACCTTTAGTGGATAAACAAATGTATCATGGGAGTCTGAACCGAACTCATTGGAAGCATGACACCTATAAACGCCCATATCTTTCCAGGACAACTTTGGAATGAAAAGGTCTCCATTTTCAAGTACCTGTAAATTAATCATGTTTTACAATTTATCTGTAATGTTTATATAAAACCAATTGTTCAATTTTAGTACCTGGAATCTTGACTCTTTGGCAGGATGTCCAATCCATGACCAAGTGATTGTTGGAGCGGGCAAACCCGTAGCCTTGCAAGGAATGACGATATCGAATCCCTGCACTTGCATCATGAATTTGACGAAGTAGGTGATCCTCGCTTTGCCTTTTGTCAGTTTGCACCCTAGAGATTTAGTTCCGGGCCCTGCAATGAAAAAAAAAAAAAAACACATTTTAATTATTTTTCTTAAATCATAGTTTTATTATCAGGCTTACTTGTCCTGTGTACGACAACGTTAGTCAGTCCGCTTTCATTCATGGCACCTCTTGAATGCCCTTTGCAGTAGTAAATGCCACTGTGCAATACCGTGGCGCACGGTACGATAAACCTTTGCACCACTCTTATAGCGCCGTATGGCACAATGGCGTTTTCTTCGCTGTCACCCTCAGTGTCATCTGCAACTCGAAGGTTTCCTTTGTACCATGCTACTTGCGGTATCCTGCTCGATACTCCGTGGCAAGACAACAGCAGAGTCTGCCCTTCTACTATGTGTATCTCTCTATTTTGGTCTATGTTCGTTACGGTGATCCAATCCCTTAGCAGAGACGATTTACGTCCTGACGAAAATACAAGAAACGTTAGCCTCAGGAAAAAGGTAAAGGTAAAATAATATTCGAACTTACCTTCAAAGGGGCGGAGTTCATTCTGCAAAGAAAAAAACGAGAATATTAGCAGAAAATCAATCAAGCTTAAAATATCTAAAATGTATTTATTAACTAAATTAAAAGCATTTATTCAGTAAAAAATGCCTTGAAGAAGCTGTAAAGTTTTACAGTTTGAAACGTTTCCTCTGCAAAGCAGCAAACAAGTGCAAAATTATAAAGCCGATTTCAATTTTTAAATGGGAACGAGATGGATTTTAGGCCATATTAGAAAACAAGTATAAATACAATTCAAAAACCACTGTGGTACAATTAAGTCTGGAAATTTGATGAAGTCTAAGTATAAATACAGTCCAAAAACTACTGAGGCAAAATAAAGTCTGACAATTTGACGAGGTAAATTTTACTGTTTAAAACGTTTTCTATGTGAAGCAGTAAACAAGTAAGAAAAATATAAAGCCGATTTTAGTTTTTAAATCAGAAAGATGGATTTTAAGCCATATTAAAAAAAATATATATAAATACAGTGCGAAAATCGCTGGGGTACAATTTAGTCTGAAAATTTGATGACGTAAAATTTACAGTTTAAAACGTTTTCTCTGCAAAGCAGCAATCAAGTGCGAACAGGATAAAGTCGATTTTAATTTTTAAACCAGAAAGAAATGTATTTTAAGCCATATTAGAAAAAAATATAAATACAGTGCAAAACCCACGGGTAAAATTTAGTCTAAATTTAACGGCGTAAAGTTTTACAGTTTAAAACGTTTCCTCTGTAAAGGAGTAAACAAATGCGAACAGCATAAAGTCAATTTTGATTTTTAAATCAGAAAGATGGATTTTAAGCCATATTAGAAAAAAAGGATAAATACAATTCAAAAACCACTGTGATACAATTAAGTCTGGAAATTTGGTAATGTATAAGTATAAATACAGTCCAAAAACTACTGGGGCAAAATATAGTCTGAAAAATTGACGACGTAAATTTTACAGTTTAAAACGTTTTCTCTGTGAAGCAGAAAACAAGTAAGAAAAATATAAAGTCGATTTTAGTTTTTAAATCAGAAAGATGGATATTAAGCCATATTAGAAAACAAGTATAAATACAATTCAAAAACCACTGTGGTACAATAAGTCTGGAAATTTGGTGAAGTATAAGTATAAATACAGTCCAAAAACTACTGGGGCAAAATATAGTCTGAAAATTTGACGACGTAAATTTTACAGTTTAAAACGTTTCCTCTGTAAAGGAGTAAACAAATGCGAACAGCATAAAGTCAATTTTGATTTTTAAATCAGAAAGATGGATTTTAAGCCATATTAGAAAAGAAGGATAAATACAATTCAAAAACCACTGTGGTACAATTAACACAATATAAAGACGTAAATTTTACAGTTTAAAACGTGTTCTCTGCAAAGCAGCAATCAAGTGCGAATAGGATAAAGTCGATTTTAATTTTTAAATCTGAATAAATGGATTTTAAGCCATATTAGAAAAAAAGTATAAATACACTATAAAAACCACTGGGGTAAAATGTAGTCTAACAATTTGACGGCGCAAATTTTATAGTTTAAAACGTTTTTTCTGTGAAGCAGTAAACAAATAAGAAAAATATAAAGAAATGGATTTTAAGCCATATTAGAAAAAAAGTATAAATATCGTGTAAAAACCCTTGGGGTAAAATTTAGTCTAACAATTTGACGACGCAAATTTTATAGTTTAAAACGTTTTTTCTGTGAAGCAGTAAACAAGTAAGAAAAATATAAAGAAATGGATTTTAAGCCATATTAGAAAAAAAGTATAAATATAGTGTAAAAACCCCTAGGGTAAAATTTAGACTGAAAATTTGATGACGTAAAATTTACAGTTTAAAACGTTTTCTCTGCAAAGCAGCAAACGAGTGCAAAACTATAAAGCCGATTTTAAGTTGTAAATCAGAAAGAGATGGATTTTAAGCTATATTAGAAAAAAATATAAATACAGTGCAACAATCACTAGGATAAAATTTAGCCTAAATTTGACGGCGTAAAGTTTCCAGTTCGATACCGTAAAGATGTTGATGAAAAAGTCTGACAGGTATAGAGGGTAAAATTTGATTTTTAACCTTGAATTTTTATTGTTCCGACGTCCGAGTCGAATCAAGCTTGTGTCTAACTGTTTAACCATTAATTGCCTGAAAAGGGCAAACGATGCCAGAACGAAGTCGATTTTCCTATTTTAAAGTTTACAAGGTAACTCCGGATAGACTAGGTCCTACTTTGTGTGTTCCAGATATGAATACCAAATTTGAAAACATCGAATCCAGAAGTGGGTAGTTTTGATCCGTCGGGTTGCAAAACCCGACTTCCCCGCTCAGCATAATATCCTTCTTTCCCCGTTCATAGATTTATAAAATAAGGAACGATGAGTGATTCCCCGAGACCTGTCTTTTCACGTTTACCTTGCCGAAATTATACAAATGTTTCCTTTTTATCGAACAAATACAAGGATCTCCACCACCTTATTTAAAACCGTCAACAACAAGAGAGGAGGGTCTGATACGACAAAAGATCGCAAAGCGTCAAATTCATACAAAGTCGCCCAACTATGCGATAATCCAATGACCCGATGATCCGACGAATTAAGATATCGCTAAAAACAATAGCTCTTTAAACAATACCGTTTTAACAGGGCGAATGATTCAAAGTTCATCAGAATTGTTACAATAGAATTGTTTCTTTTTCACATTTCCATGCTCCTTGTTTAGAAATATCGAGATGATAGGATAGAAACAACAAAAGGTCTTTATAAACACGACAAATTAATTCATTTTAAAGTAGATTAACGTAGTTCTGATAATCTCAGTTTAAAATCTCAATCGCGATATTAATTATAGAATTTTACAATTAATCTACAAGCTGCAGTATAAAACAAAGCTTGTTAATGTGCACGTACCGACAACATTTAATAATTTAAAAAAATTCTTACTCAGCTTTTCAACGCGCTTCTTTACACAAACATACCGGTATGAAATAACGCATAACAAATATAATATAATAAAAATTTGGTTTATTCGAAAATATAATTCTGGTAATCACAGAAGTTAAGATATTTGAAAAATTTTTTCAAAAAACACAATGATCAACTTAAAGAAAGGAAGGGATAAAACAATTCAGAGCAAATGGGAATGTACAAAAACCAGGGGAGGGAGAGATTGAGAGAGAGAGTGTGAGAGATCGAGGGTGAGAGTAAGTGAGATAGCTAGAGGGAGAAGGAGTGAAAAAGAACGAGGATGGTAGGGCGAAAACAAGAGAATGAAAGTGAGAGCAGGGCAGTAAAATAATAAATAAAAAGAGTGGAAAGAAAGGAGGGAAGAAATGAAAGAGAAAATATATAAAAACAAAATTTTGCCAGTCTCAACATTACTCAGCTACCTAAAATAATATCGTTATAAAAATTTGTTGATTGCACTGAAAACAATATAAAAATTAAACCAAGCATTGGTAATTCGGTCATAAAACCGAAACTTGAAAAAACAAATCGTATGTGACGTTAATTATTAAAGTAAATTATGAATGCATTCGGATTTGTTAGGTTTCATGTGAGTGATGAGACTTTCAAATATTTCTTGTATTTTTAGTATTCGTGTGCATAAGTAATGAACTTGATCTCTTGTCGATTGTGGTATTTCCTCAAGCCCTTTTTGTATCAAGTGGCCCCCACCTAAACCTTGGCCAAGCTCTTGGTATGGCCGGATCAGCGTTCGAACCGTGTGAAACCACCGTTCCCACAGCTTCAGCGAACCGGGGGCTCTCTTCGCCCGTTCCCTTCGACCCGCTGCACCATCAGCAGGTCTGATAGCATTTTTATCTTGTAGTTTACAACACATACGGTATTCCTTATTTTCCCACCCGGTCGACTTGGGCCGACTCATTAATTTTGTGGGAAAATAAAAACAAACATGTTCGCCCACTTTACAATTCTAGACCAGCGGAAACATAAACACAAGAGGGTCGTGAGAGCCACTGCGAAAACAGATAATCCGTTAACTATATATTATCTTCGCCTTTGTTACTGAGGACGATGGATGACGGTATTTGTTTTCCGCAATTGGTCAAAGAAATTTCCTTTTAAGAAATTTACGACGCCGTTTCCTCAAGAGAACTTCGTCAAAATACTTTGTCCCTCATGTTCCCTACCAAGTAATAACTGTCTAAAATAATGTGTGGTGATTAGTGACCGTTAATCGATGGTTATTCAGAAATCATGAGATGCGGTCTGGTGTGGTGTAGGTTTCAGAAAAACATTTTCTTTATCGTGCCAACGTTTCGATCTTTATTGAGATCATCTTCAGTGTTCAAAGTGTTTGTTTTCTGTGTAATTGTGCCATTCTTGCGTGCCGTGTTTGGGCACTCTCAACGAAGATGATCTCAATAAAGATCGAAACGTTGGCACGATAAAGAAAATGTTTTTCTGAAACCTACATCATACCAGACCGCATCTAACAATCTCTGAATAATGTCTAAAATAAATTTCTTTTTTTCAAAAACGAAGCCTGACGCTAATTCTTAAGAAGAAAAAAAAAGAAGTAAGAAAGAACAATAAACAGGTAAAATTTATACATGACTAGATACTTCAACAATGCTCATATATTGAACAAAGATGGTTCGTCAAGTTTTACCATACCAATATCCAACCTTGCAACCAGAATCAACAGTTCTTTCATCTATTCTCTGTTGGTCGTAGTCGGAAGTGTTTTGGCTCTTGGCCATCCAACGTTCAACGACCCGAAAACGACTGCCTTGAGATTAAGAGCGGGAATAGGCGGACCAGAGATGGCCCAAGTCGGAGAATCGGAGATTGAAAGGGCACACGGTGTAAGCAGCATCGCACAAGATATTCATACCAGTTTGCCAATTATTTCATATCCCGATGAGCAAACAGGATGAAAAATGGTACTTTAAGTTAAGGGAAAAATAATAAAAACAAAATTTCTATATTTTATCGGTCCAGATTTTAATACAATTATCAAGAATTTTTTTTCTACAGATAAGATTGGCACATTA